CCTCTAGAGATGAGATATGTATAACCTGGCTGTAGGTTAATTAGGTTGTACCTTGCACTTAACTTCCACCAGAGATCCCTGTAGGAAGTTCAATATGACCACACTTCAAATAGTTGAGAGTAAAAAATAACGAGGGATTTTGTATGTTCTGATGCATCAGTACCTCCTTACATTTTATCCAATGTTTATATCAAATCTTTACTGACGGAGCTTTAATGTAACAATGAAAACTGTAATGAATAAGATGGATGAAAGAAAACGAACCAGAATTGCAGTTATCTGACTCATTTAGAAATCCTTTGATCTGAAGAAAGAGAATCATAACATATATGGTATGAGGCAGTGCATTGATAACATTTAATTGGGTGATAGTTAAGAATACATAACATTTTAAACATTAAACAATATGGAGGCTGTGGCTCAGTGGGTGGTGCGTTGATTTTCAGGGAAGCTCTGGTTCCAACCAAGACTCTTCACCCCATATTGCTCCTGTGATTATTGCCCACAGTATTGAGTGTATGTAAGTTGCTTTGGATAAAAGCATCTAACAAGTGACATGTAATGTACATTTTGCATCTCATTGTCCCTCACAATAAAAAATAGAATATGTGTAGGGTTAGAAGACACGAATCCCCTCCTGAAGGATCGAAAAGACAATACATCAAATAAAAAATAAGAATATAATGCATAATACAATTATAAATATATATATAAAGACATTTAATATGAACATTTTTTTTGTAAAACGAAATAAATAGTGATAAACGTGAGTATTTTTTTTACAACATTTCATATAAAACGTGAAAAAAATATAGCATTAAAAAAAAAATTGCAACAAAAATAAATTAACTCTGACTTACTTCACATCTTGACACTAAACCCAGTGTTCTTGTTTATTATATTTTTTTGTGCACGCTATTTTTCAGAACATTTGTAAGTTATACTTTACACATTTGGTGGGGATAAAATTGGCCATTTCAGAAACATGTCCCCAGCTCAAATGACGCCTATGTTGTTAACAACAGTTGCCACGGTCGAGTGACGTCATCATTGTGCGACCACATGTGACCGAAGGGTCAGAGGGGTAACGGGGCCGTTTGGAAGCCGGGTATCTAGTCAGATGAGACGGTTTAACTTAAGTAATTTCTGCTGTCACACCGGCCATCTTCTACCACGGAGGGCAACGGACTGAACCAGCGGCAGACATGTCGTACTGCAAACAGGAAGGTAATCTAAATCTCCTTCATTCATGTTCACTCCATGTCCATGGCTTGGCAATGTCACCGAGTTAGCCACCATGCTAGGCTAACTTCTAGAAGAAGCCGGATATTTCAGTAAGTTACCTAACAGTTACATGGCTGGTAGCGAGGAAGCTGCATGCAAATGAATGAGGCTTATTATTAAGGGTGTCTGCATTGTTGTGATAAAACACATTGGTCATGGTCGTAATCTGATCGGACACCTTTGATACACATTGGTAGAAAGGGCTAGCTCTGAATCTGGTGGTACGTCCAGGGCTATCAGTTGACAGGTCAGGTTAAACCAGGTTACTGGCACAGTGCGCCCACAGGGGTCACTGTTAACCAGCTTCGTGAACTGGTTTTCTACTTCTACTCGAAATATAAACTAGTAGAGCATTTTTTGTTTATTTTTGTACAGTTTATTTATTTATCATACATTTGAACTGACTCTGGTTGCTCTTGCTGTTACATAGCAAATGGAGACAATGATATAATCTTGAGATGGGATCATAACAACGCCAGTAAAGTCGAGGAGGAAATGTCGTCTTCCCCACTCCTTTCCCCCCTTGCTTCCGGTGCCCTTGCTCTGGCCACACCCATTTCCAAACTGAAGGCTACAACATTAATTTGTATTTGAGCTACACACCTGTTAAGTCCTGTGAGTGTGTCTTTCATGGGGTGACAAAATATGTCCAGAGGAGAGATGGCAAACTTTTACCAACAGGTGAAGTCATTTAATAACGTTTTCTGCAACTTTGTCATATCTTAAAAAACATGTAGGAATCTATAAGCCCATGTTTGTTGTTGCTGAATTCTTGTCAACCTCTCCAAGTCAAATAGGCTGCAGTAACTAAGGCAACTCCCTATGAAGACTCCACATTACACCTAGTTTAGCATCTCAACACTGGATAACTGATCCAGAGATCAGGATTTTAAATGGTACTGATGCTTTTTTAGGACTTTTCACATTTACTTGTTATGTTATTGGTTGTTTTTCAGTTTAAACAATACTTATTTTTACTGTTTAAGTTATTGATACTTTGCTTGTCATTAATACTGTATCAGTTATATTTTATATTATCTGCCATTTTTATACATCTTTGTAAAACAGTTACTTTTTTTAAGTGCTATATGAAAAATCCATGATTTTGTTATTTGTTTTGTTATCAAAGGTAAGGATCGCATCATCTTTGTGACCAAGGAGGACCATGAGGCACCGAGCAACGCTGAGCTCATTGCAGATGACCCCGATGATCCTTATGAGGAACAGGGTTAGTCATTGTTAGGGATGGGTATCGTTTGAAATGTATCGATTCCGGTTCTTATCGATTCCCCGTTTCGATTCCAAAATTGTAAAAGAAAGAGGTCAATCTTTTAGATAACAAAAATATCTTTATTTTTTTAAGCTTTAACTGACATTTTTACAAATAAAAAATATACATGCAATACAAATGTATTGCACAATAGCTGTGCTTTATTTTAACTGAGCTATGCCTGTGGCAAGCTGTTAACAGGCATTACACTGTGCCTTGTCTTTTCATTTTTTAGTGTAGTGGAGCCTCACTTCAGACCGTTTAGCGCGACCCATCTTTGGTGTTATGAAGTGACTGAGCTTGTGAACTGTCTACGGGAGGACGGGGGGAGCCTCGCTGCGGGGAAACTGTGGACCTCTGTCGCCGCAAATAACATGATGCCGTTTTAAAAAATGAAGGGCGGTGCCGGCCGTCAGCGTACCAAGCCGGTCGTCAGCCGGCCGTCAACGACCCGCTGACGACCGGCCGTTCTGTGATTCTCCAGAACACACAGATGGCCAGTCCTCCCTTACCCTGGCTGTATTTCACCGGGTCACCGCGGCGCAGACGGACCTGGTGGAATACAGGGTCTACCGCGTTTAGGAACCGTTAAGCAGAACCGAAATTGTGTATTTTGTATGGGTACCCGGCATTTTCTTATCGGTTCCCAACCCTAGTCATTGTGGAAAAACAGGATCAGACTTTCAAACATTACCTCATACAAGTATTCTTTTAACTTACTTCCTTCTGGTTTCCTTTCCTTAAGGTCTGATTTTGGCTAATGGAGACATCAACTGGAACTGCCCGTGCCTTGGCGGCATGGCCAGTGGACCGTGCGGCTCTCAGTTTAAAGAGGCCTTTTCCTGCTTCCACTACAGTAAGGAGGAGCTGAAGGGCTCCGACTGCATCGACAACTTCCGCGGTATGCAAGAGTGCATGCAGAAGTACCCCGAGCTCTACCCTCAAGAGGAAGATAAAGAAAGCTCCTCCGAAGCAGAGTCCAACTCTGGTTCTGGTTCTGCTGCCCCGACTGAGGGCTCCGCCTCGCCCCCTGAAACTGACTCTCCCCCTGCTGCTGCTACTACACCTGCTTCTGAAGCTACACCACCTGCTGCTGATGCTACACCACCTGCTGCTGATGCTACACCTGCTGCTGATGCTACACCACCTGCTGCTGATGCCTCACCTGACAGCGCATCGCCCACAGAAACCCAGAGTGCCAGCTAAGGTCCACCGGTGCTCATCCAGGCTTCTCTGTGTCCAATCACTGCCCGGCAGAACTGACTCTCCAGGAGGAGCTCTGATTGGCCTCTTCACCTGATTAAGCCCACAGACAGAGAGGACTTACTGACATAGCTCTGATTCTAACGGGCCATATTTACAGGCAATCAGTGAAGGACTTTGTGAATGCAGATGAACATAACGTATGTACAAAGTATAGGCTGCTTTGTTTCACTGGCACTCAAAGATCATTGAAGAGTATGATTTATTGACAGCGGGCTAAACTGCAGGCACATCAGTGAAAGAGTCCCTTTATAGGCAATTGGGGTTTAATTTATTGTGTGTTATCGTGTCTATCAAAAAAGCTTGTTTGTTGGCATCCATTATGTGTGTTGTCCTGATAATGTTGACAGCCCAGAAATATACAGCACCGGCTTCGATTCATTATGCAATTTGATAGTAATCCAAGCAGGAATCACTTGATCTTTTGATTGGAGCTTCTTTTTCTTGTTTGTGTTACTGCAGTTTAACATTTAATTCCCTTCCTTTATTCTATTACTCAAAAGACAGAAAGCCCTTTTAATTGGTAAAAAAAAAACAAGGCTTCTGTTTGGGTAAAATTAAGAGGTTCTGCGTTTGTTGACATCTTGTAAGAACTTCAGGGTTTCCATCTACATTAGTTAGCATATGAAAAGTTGTTGTCATCTTCATAATTGATACTGTATCTGGCCAAGACCAAAGTGGTTTGTTACATTTGACTGTCAGTGCATAAATGTTTTTGTTGTCTGAACACTGTCTGGAATCTGCTCTGATCACCATTCAGTGACCTTCCTCTAAAATACTTGATCTGTGTTTCTCAAACATGTCCAGATTAAAATGATTTGTGGAAAAATCAGATGTTTCGTATGAAGCCTTCTTAATGTCAGTCAGTTTTACATTTTCACATCTTGAAAATGTAATAAATGTTTTGAGGTTTTTAACTCTAATATGTACAAGTAAACCGTGTATTATGACAGAACCGACCATCATATTTAACAGCCTAATACTAGCTAGCATTTCTGTAATATTATAGTTTCATAGTATTTTATTATCAAAATCATATAGGCTTCAACATGTGTATAAATAAACTTTGAGAAACCCAGTTGGACATTCAAAGAACGACAACTACCTTCATCTTACACCGTTACCTTGCTCGATAAAAAAGTGGCGATAAAATATTGATTTGTTAAACTCAGATCTTAACAAATCCAGGAACTCACTTCAGTTTTTATTTTGTGTTGCACACACACACATTGTGAGTACCAGTCATGAGTTTGACTCCTCTGAATGAGGCAGCATGTCATCAGTGATTTTCAGTCCCCTTTCTGAATTGTCCACTGACTCAAATGTCCTTGCCAAAGCTTCTGCAGTCTGTCCTGCCTGTGTAGATCTATATTCAAGTACATCCGTTCCTCAGGCCCTCTGATACCAGTAGGCCGAGCCGCGGTGTCCATGGGACGACCACGCTCTGCATGGTGACCAGCAGTCGGCCTGTTCCCGCCTCCTCGGGTCCCGCCAGCAGGTACTCCATACCTGGTGAGAGAGGTAAGACATTATTGACCTGGTCTAATAACACATCTCCAGTGTATATTCCTCTGTTAAAAATGTGTCCAGAAAGCTGTACATGACTGTCTCGTGTACTGGTTCACAAATTATTTTTCTTTGCCATGTTTTCAACTGATTCTTCCATTTTTAGATATTGACCTATGCGTCTAAAATTAAAAAGAAGATGAAGATAAATACATATTTAAGATTCAAATTCAAAGGCTTAATTGTCAACACAATAGCTAGTGTAGTTTTGGCAGTAAAAAGTCCCATATTAGGTCCCAGGCTCCTCCTACAATGCAACATACAATATTCTTAAGACATAAAAAGAAAGAAAAATAGTTCAAGAAGAAATGGAAATAAAAAAAGTACATGAGTATGGTGCAAGGAACACAATGCTGCAACAAAAAAACCCGGAAATACTGTAAGTAAACTATGTAAAATAAAAACTGCATATTGTAATAATATATAAATAAGTATCTAGACTAAGTACATTTACATTTGAACTGAATTATAATCATTTTACCTGGGTTTAGAATGGGACAGGTGCAGCCGCGGCTGGTCCAGGACAGAGGGTAGATGCTGATGGTCCCTAAGCTCAGCGCCACATGGCCTGATCGAAGGACCTTGCGAACTTTGACCTGCACTTCTGCGTGGCTGCCTTTGTCGTGAGCGGACAGCACACTGGCCTTGATCACTGTCAGGGTCACACAGGAAGAGAGAATACTGAGGGGAGGCATTATGAAGCAAGTATCGATCACAATTCATGAAACGGTTATTAAACGAGTGATAATAATTACACATCCTTTCTTACCATAATCATGTTTGGTCTTACAGAGGTCCAACGCACTCCTCAGCTTTTTCTCCTTACAGCTGCACTTTCCTGCATACAGACATGAGTTATTCCTGATCCACTACCTCCAAGATTACCCTCAATAAATCACTACGATTCCACAGTTTAAAGCCATGCAATGCAGATGAACATCAGACTCACCTGTGTAATGCAGAGCAGAGACGGCGAGCTCCTTCGACCACTGAACCTCTTCTTCTAATGTGAACATGTGATCCAGGTCAGGGATCTTTCCACCAATGGGCACGTTGAACACCTGGTTATTTGAGTAGCTGCAATAGTGGAATTGAACCCATCAGGTGATTGTTACTATAATGTCTTCATCAAACAAGGCCATGCATAAAAAAATCATTAATATCAAAGGGAGAACATATGCTATATGTCTGTCCCTGGGAAGGTACACACATACACATCAGATCAAAATACAAATATTTAGAATATACATACTAGCACATTTATCAAAACAGCTACAGTGGGGCAAAAAAGTATTTAGTCAGCCACCAATTGTGCAAGTTCTCCCACTTAAAAAGATGAGAGAGGCCTGTAATTTTCATCCTAGATACACCTCAACTATGAGAGACAAAATGAGAAAAGAAAATCCAGAAAATCACATTGTCTGATTTTTAAAGAATTTATTTGCAAATTATGGTGGATTTGGTCAATAACAAAAGTTCATCTCAATACTTTGTTATATACCCTTTGTTGGCAATGACAGAGGTCAAACGTTTTCTGTAAGTCTTCACAAGGTTTTCACACACTGTTGCTGGTATTTTGGCCCATTCCTCCATGCAGATCTCCTCTAGAGCAGCTGGAGAGGCTCTCCAAAAAAACTGGCCTCACAGTCCACCTCCTGGCCTTTCGTGAGCATATAAAAACATATAAGGAAGCTCTCTCCCATGCCAAGACTCACTACTACTCTCGTCTCATTGGTGCTCAGCAAAGCAACCCCAGAAGACTGTTCTCCACCATCAACCGCCTACTACGGCCCCCTGACGCCCCTCAGCCCTCAGGGGCTCCCGATCTGTGCTCCAAATTCCTTGACTTCTTCCAGGCGAAAGTCGAGGCCATCCATCAGCAGCTCCTGGTGACTGGCCCTTCCCCCCTACCTGCACCTCAGCCACCTGGTAATGCACCCCAAGCGCCGCGCCTCTCCCACTCCAACCTCTCCTCCTTCTCCCCTGTGGATGCTCTCCAAGTGGCCAAACTGGTCAGCTCGGCCAAGACCTCCACCTGCTCCCTGGACCCCATGCCCACAGCCCTGGTCAAGGACTGCCTACCCACCCTCTGTCCCTACATGGTGGTCATCATCAACGCTTCTCTGGCTCCTGGTATAGTCCCCACCAGCTTCAAACTGGCCTCAGTCACCCCCATACTCAAAAAACCTGGCCTGGACCCCGACGACCTCCAGAACCACCGGCCGATCTCCAACCTTCCCTTCCTCAGCAAAACTCTGGAAAGAGTGGTCGCCGGCCAACTCCATCAGTACCTGTCCAGCAATGAGCTCTATGAGCCCTTCCAATCCGGCTTCAGACAGCAACACAGCACTGAGACCGCCCTCATCAAGATCACCAACGATCTCCTCATTGCTGCTGACTCTGGCCGCCTCAGCATCCTCATCCTCCTGGACCTCTCTGCAGCATTTGACACCATCTCTCACAACATCCTCCTCACCCGCCTCTCAGACCTCCTAGGTGTCACTGGCACAGCGCTGTCCTGGTTGACATCCTACCTCCACAACAGGAAACAGTTTGTCTCCATCAGTGGCTCAAACTCAGCCCCGGCCCCAGTCCACCACGGTGTACCCCAGGGCTCTGTGCTTGGCCCCCTCCTGTTCACCATTTACATGCTCCCCCTCGGCCAGATCATCTGACATCATGGACTCAACTTCCACTGCTATGCTGATGATACCCAATTGTATCTCAGCACCACTCCATCCTCCCAGCTCCCCCCTCAGTCTCTCATCAACTGCCTGCATGACATCAAAGCATGGATGTCATGCAACTATCTGAAACTAAACAGCATGAAAACAGAGCTCATGGTTGTGGCACCCAAGGCCCTGTTCCAGAAGGTTGGTGACTTCATCCTTGAGGTTGACGGCTGCTCCATCTCCCCATCTCCTGAAGCCCGCAACCTGGGTGTCATCCTCGACTCCACCCTTTCCTTCCATTCCCACGTCAAGTCTGTGACAAATCAGCCTTTTTCCATCTAAGGAACATTGCCAGACTCCGACCGTCACTCTCGGAGTCGGTTGCCGAAACCCTAGTCCATGCATTTGTCACCACCCGCTTGGACTACTGCAATGGTGTCCTGTTCGGGGTTTCCAACAAAACCCTGGACAGGCTCCAGTATGTCCAAAACTGTGCTGCTAGGGTACTCACGCACACAAAACCGTGGCAGCACATCACTCCCACCCTCATCCACCTACACTGGTTGCCGGTCAAGTCCCGCATATCCTACAAAATCCTCCTCCTTACCTACAAATCCCTCCATGCCCTTGCCCCCCAGTACCTATCGGACATCCTTCACCCACATGCCCCACCCCGGAACCTGCGGTCCTCAGACTCTGGCCTGCTTACCACCCCCCGCACCAAACTGCGAACCTACGGGGACAGAGCCTTCAGTGTGGCAGCCCCCACCCTCTGGAACGCTCTCCCTGCGGAGATACGCAACATCCCCACACTTGAAGCCTTCAAAAGGGCCCTCAAGTCCCATCTGTTTGCCAAGGCTTTCGGCCCCTAAATCGATCTGTTGTTCTGTTTGTCTGTCTTTTGTTTTGTTATGTTTGTCTTTGCACTATTACTTGTGAAGCGACCTTGGGTCCCCTGAAAGGCGCTATAGAAATCGAAGCTATTATTATTATTATTATTATTATTCTAGAGCAGTGATGTTTTGGGGCTGTCGCTGGGCAACACGGACTTTCAACTCCCTCCAAAGATTTTCTATGGGGTTGAGATCTGGAGACTGGCTAGGCCACTCCAGGACCTTGAAATGCTTCTTACGAAGCCACTCCTTCGTTGCCCGGGCGGTGTGTTTGGGATCATTGTCATGCTGAAAGACCCAGCCACGTTTCATCTTCAATGCCCTTGCTGATGGAAGGAGGTTGTCACTCAAAATCTCACGATACATGGCCCCATTCATTCTTTCCTTTACACGGATCAGTCGTCCTGGTCCCTTTGCAGAAAAACAGCCCCAAAGCATGATGTTTCCACCCCCATGTTTCACAGTAGGTATGGTGTTCTTTGGATGCAACTTAGCATTCTTTCTCCTCCAAACACGTCTAGTTGAGTTTTTACCAAAAAGTTCTATTTTGGTTTCATCTGACCATATGACATTCTCCCAATCCTCTTCTGGATCATCTAAATGCTCTAGCAAACTTCAGACGGGCCTGGACATGTACTGGCTTAAGCAAGGGGACACGTCTGGCACTGCAGGATTTGAGTGTGCATAGTGTGTTACTGATGGTAGCCTTTGTTACTTTGGTCCCAGCTCTCTGCAGGTCATTGACTAGGTCCCCCCGTGTGGTTCTGGGATTTTTGCTCACCGTTCTTGTGATCATTTTGACCCCACGGGGTGAGATCTTGCGTGGAGCCCCAGATCGAGGGAGATTATCAGTGGTCTTGTATGTCTTCCATTTTCTAATAATTGCTCCCACAGTTGATTTCTTCACACCAAGCTGCTTACCTATTGCAGATTCAGTCTACCCAGCCTGGTGCAGGTCTACAATTTTGTTTCTGGTATCCTTTGACATCTCTTTGGTCTTGGCCATAGTGGAGTTTGTAGGTGACCAAATACTTATTTTACCGAGGAATTTACCAATTAATTCATTAAAAATCCTACAATGTGATTTCCTGGATTCTTTCCCCCCATTCTGTCTCTCATAGTTGAAGTGTACCTAGGATGAAAATTACAGGCCTCTCTCATCTTTTTAAGTGGGAGAACTTGCACAATTGGTGGCTGACTAAATACTTTTTTGCCCCACTGTATATCTTCAGAATTAATTTAAACTAACCTATCAAATTACAGTACAATTATTGTTGGCAAGACTGGTTGCTCAATATCATTTTTGTTGCACATTTGGAAAAAGTGTGAACGTCTGAGCAGGTTTAAGCTCAACTGGAAGTATAAATTAGCAATAACCACAGTGATTAAGTTTTAGCTTCTGCCTTGACGTGTGAATGATTAGGTCGTAGATAGATGATATGGCTAACCTGTCCAGACACTGCCCTGTGATTGGATCACAGCTGTGAGGGCAGGCGCAGGGTCTACAGCCCTCCTCTCCAAACCCCCAGTGTCCGGGCTGGCAGTGGCTGCAGCTCGCGCCCCAGACCCCGGGTCTGCAGGGGCACTGCCCGCTCCTTGGGTGGCACCAGGGTCCCTCCTCCCCTGGACGAGTGGGCAAAGACCCCCGAGGATCACACCAGCAGCCTGAGAAACATACACAGTTAAGTATGATGCTCCTACATTTATGTTTTACTCTTCTATTGTTGTCAAATTATGGATTTAGAAAAGTGCCAGCAGATGGAGCTATAAGACGTTACTTTTATTTTATCCACCAACCTGTCTTACTTTGAACAAACACCACCAGTACATTTACTCAAGTGCTATACTCAAGTACACATTTGAGGTACTTGTACTTTACCTGAGTATTTTCATTTTATACTAATGTATACTTATTTTCTACTAGATTTTGGGAGCCAATATTGTACTTTTTAATCCAATATATTTATTTTACAGATTTATTTACTTTATAAATTCAGATTTTGACAAACAATACTTTTAAAAAAAACGTTTAAAATATGATTATTTGGTATAGATTAAAACCATCCAAAATGTTATGCAGAGCAACTAAAACCACAAGTGCGACATCAGAAAATGAATCGCAGTTCCATCTTTTTAAATGTGAAGATTACTCTGAATACTTTAAGTACATTTTCCTTATTGTACGTAAATACTTTCTCAATGCAGTACTTCTAATTTTTACTTCAAAGCAAAAAATAGAAGAAGGGCAAATTGTACTATTATAAAAGCTATTTTAGAAACTATTTTAAAACAATTGTAACAAATTAAAAATAAAGACAAAATGTACACAAAATATAAATATGTGAAAAACTAAGTACAGTAAAGTATAATAAAATATGACAAGTAGTTGGTTGAAAGTGGAGAGCTATGCAGATTTAAACAAGAGGTAGTGCCGAGCAGAAATGTGCAACTCTAGATCAACTCAGCGATGAGGGTCTTACGTGTGCAGGCGTGGGGGGAGTTGAGGGGCAGGGATGGGTGGCGGTGGTAACCATGGCGACAGCGCTGGCACCTGCGACCCACAGTGTTGTGCCTGCAGTCGTCACAAACGCCCCCACTGGTGCCCCCCGAGGAGAGCCAGGCCCTCGGAGAGAAGTGGCAGCGCTCTGCGTGAGCGTGGCACTGGCACACTGAAAGCGTGAGAGGGAGACAAAGTGGGAGGGAGGAGGCGGAGAGACAACAGGGAACACGGGGTACGGGCACATTATGGGTTAGGTTTTTGGGTAACATTTTTAATGAGGCCAATGTCTATAATTATCCACATTCAGTACTTGAGAAAATACCATCACTGGTTTTATTGTATGGTAGGAGGGAATGCGTCGAAAACTGTATACTCATAGTTTACTATAATCTGCTTTTAGCCTGTCATTATTAAAGTAATAAGTACTTGGAAAATATTCATGTTTAATTTCGAAGCATTTTATTACGATTTATAAAGTCCAGTATCATAACACTTCATAATTGATCGTCACATTTTGACATTTTTGTTTTAATTATGTTTTTTTAAATTTTATTTAAAGCACAAAATTACAATTTGAATTGATTTAAAGGCAGCTTGTGATTGATTATATCTGCCTTTAACTTGGTTGATGTATTTTAAACAGATGTTTGCTATTATAATGTATTAGGAAATCATAATACACTATCATCCTTTGTCAATGAGTGACCTTGATCCTATAAGTGCTATAAAGTGCTTATAAATGTAAGTGCTACAAGCGGATAAAAAATGCATTATAAGTATTGGATTTAGTATGTTCGGATTTTCTTGAGTCTATAAAGCCTATTTGTATACCATGTTCAAAACACTGTTGTCCAAATGATGTTCTCACATTGAAAAAACTTAAGTTAAAAGACTTCACCTGCAAAGTAAGGATGTGATATTGCTCATCTAAAAGCTTTAAAACATCTTGAGTATGTATTTAAAACCCTGCTAGATGGACGCTTGATAGAAACTATGTATAGTTCCTGTTACAGCCCACTTTTGAAGCTCCTCTCTGGTTTTTCTCAGCAGCATGGTTAGCGTGCAGCGTGTTGGTGGTCACTCACTCTGGCACGGGTTGGACTCCCCGCTGCTGCTGTTGGCCGGCCTCCAGGAACGATCATTGTAGAGTGGGGCGCACTTATCACAGTGATCCCCGGCTGTGTGGTGAGCACACATGCACCTACCGGACACCTGGAAAACACATCCGGGGTTGCTTAGTTACTTCACCTACACCTGCCGTCTGGAGAGAGCTATAAAATAGATCCAGGCAGGTGGTGTAAATCAAACAATTGAAAGCTCTTTAACTGGCCAGTCTTACATCAGTAAGTGCTTTTTACATCTTGACTTAACTTCCTGATGTGTGTTTTACTACACTGTAATAGAACACAGGCCAGTGCAGTAACTGGCAGACTCACTTTCTCGAATTGTATTACCAACTATTTTACTTTGAAACACAGGAGAAGCCACTCACCATGTTACTGTCCTGCCTTGTGTCTTGGCTACTGTTGTATGCTACACAATTCTCAGCGTGTCCGTGGCACAGGCAGGTCCCTCTGGCCAATAGAGTATAAATAGCGTAAGGTGCTGCGCTTTCTGTGGAGGATGTGGAAGTGAGAGCTGAGTCTGTGGGGCTTGTCCAGGCTGCCGGGGGATGTAGAGGTCCCGGGCAGCTCTGAGCTTTCAGCAGTCTGATGCGGAGGTTAGTGAGGGTCAGGCGGGCGAGGGCCTCCGGACTGTAAGGGTCCAGAGTTTTAGCACTGAAGGGGTCAAGTGTCCGCAATATTACCTGCCGAGGAGAAAAACAGAGCACCAGTTGGAGCTGAATCAAACCCTGAGGAACTCCCTAAAGATTATACATTAGAGCTTTGCAGTAGTGGAAAGTAACTAAGTACTGTATTAACAATATTATGTTACTATTTGTTTACTTGGCTATTCCCATTTGCTGGTACTTGTACTTCTACTCCATAACAGTTCAGAAGGGAATATTCTGTTCATATTTATTTGATAACTTTAGTTTTAACTTTGCTGATTACAACTACAAATACAAAATCAACTACAACATAATGTACTGTATTTAGTATCATTATATGTTAAGATTGTAAAGACTCTATTATTCCTAGAGTTCACATGCTACCCAGTAGTGTATAAAGCAGTGCAAATAAGCCCCACCTTTAGCAGTTGCAACATTATAAACACGTTAATGCACCATTATACAATAATATAATACAAATATTTCTTATTTCTCATGCCATTTCTGCACTTTAAGTATATTCTGATGCTAATACTTTCCTACTTTTACATAAGTAAGATTTCATACAGTTCTCTTAGTGCTCCTATAGCTCGTTTTAAAGTAAAAGTGCTTCTTTCACCACTAAATCTTGGCATAAACTCTCTTACCTCCCCCCCACCGCAGGGTGTAGGACTGGTATAACGGGATGTGCACAAAGAGCCTGGCTGAGTGAAGTCATCAGGCAAACCAAACTCCTCGCTGCAGTTGTGCGCAAAGAGCTTCAGAGTTTCCCAGGTCTTTCCAAAGTCGGCTGAGCGGTCGATGGCCATGGCAGCAGGCCGTGGGGACCGGAACACCAAAACCATGTGGGACATGCAGAAGTGGCTCTCCAAGTCCAACCGGATCTCATCCTGCTGCTCCTGCTCGGTGGGGCCTGCACCTGATGCCCACCACGTGTCTGGATGCAGGAAAGGGTCATCAGTCATGTGAGCAGGTGGATGGGTGTCATTGGGGCAAAGGGCGTGGGGGGTCACTGTTGGATAAGGGCAAGGGCTGTGGTGGAAGGAGCTGTTTCCACAGCAGCTGGAGTGGGTGAGGAGGGTCCTGCCACTAGCCAGGTTCCCAATGGGCGGACTGCAGGCATGGTCCACACATCTGGAGACTGACACAGAGGGTGATGGAGGGTCAGTGATATGATAGCAGTGATATAATACAAGTATTCAGATGCTTTAACAAGATATCTGGTGGCACAAAACATTCAAAACAACAAGCACTTTCTATCGCTGACATCATGGACAAAACCAAGGTTTTCCTCTTTGTGTTTGCCATGAATTTTTTAGTTATGCTTTCTCTGATGTGACACAGAATCCTGCCCTTTCCCCATTGGACAGCATGCTCAGGTTACATGTAAAGGCAAGACACAAGCAGCCCCAGATCAACAAGTAGCTTTAACATTTAGGTCTTAAAAATTTCACAACTAATAACCATGCAGAAATAATGTCATTTAATCAATACATATGTTACGCAGAGTCACCCACAACTGTCTTTCCAATCAATAACATAGCCTAAACACAATAGGGGAAAACAAGAAGGCAAGTTCAGCCAGAATGACGCAGGAGATTAAGAGAAAAGAGCATGATGTTGATGATGGTCATGATCATTAAAAAAAAAAATGTTTAATGTATTTATGCTATGTTTGTATACAGTTGTTGATGTACAGCACTTTGTTCAACTCTGTTGTTTTTAAATGTGCTATTGAAATAAAATGGATTGGATTGGATGGTGGTGGTGCACCTCACCTGCTCCGCTCCTCGTCAGAACCAAAAACAGCCAACAGAGCGCCAGCAGCATCCGATGCCGACCTTTCCCTAGCATACTAAACTCTCTCATCTTTGTTTCTGCTGTGTTTGCAACATAAACGGTGCGATAAACGCCTTCCAGCAGAGATTTGTCCCAACATTATGTGCAGCTTATCTAACGCACCAGCGCATTTCTCTGCCAATTACGCAATGCGCAAAGCCTTCAGACGAGTCCTTATTTTTCTCCAATTTACCCTCAGGAACAAAATCCTTGATAAAGTTCAAAGCGTCCTCGGGAACAACAGCTATGGCATCTCTCTGTCGGGAGTGGATTGCGCGCCCCCGTCGCAGCAACAATGTCTCATTGGTTAGTCCAGGAATGAACGGAATGTTACTGATTCCAATTCGATAGATGTTTGTCTTGATCCAATTTGCGCAAAATTGTTTGTCTTTGTGTTATGAAAAGCGATTATTATTATTTTTTACGCCGATTAATTAATGTAAATGTTTTAATTATCACAGCCAATCTGAAAGCTCAGTGTCCCAGCCAGGTTCTCTACGCGTTTACGCACAGGAGTGGAGTGTGCGCTCTATTTATCCACTGTCACTCCCCGCCCACACACTCATGCACGCACACACACACACACTGTGAGTACGCTGTGAGTACGATGTGCTGCAACAACACTAAACCAGCCCTTGATGAAGTTGATATATTTTTTTTCTCCTCTGCACGAGTGTATCATTGGGATTTAGCACAAAAAAACGTGCGCAGGGGAGGACAGACTTGCGACTCGCACGGATTCGTCAACGCAGTTAATGTGAACCAGCCGCACAGCGCATACCATCTAAACTAGGTCCTTCCACTATAGCCAGGGCCTCGTAATGGGGCGAGGAAATTAGTTTATCTGTTTCTGCCCTCCTGTTTTTCAGCTGCAGTAATTCCAAGTTACAGGTCTCTTTGAAGTCTAGCAGGGAGAAACCTGAGAGGGAGACACAAATAGTCCTCAGTGCAGTTATTTGCAGCTTGATGGCGCATTGTGGCACCAAAGAATCTGACAGCTTGGACTTTCATGCAAATGACTTGGACACGAAAAGGGCCTTCCTCCCATCTGTCTGCCTGACTGGATAGATTACTCTGCCATTCTTCATTATAGCCCTGGATAATAAACACATGGTCTGATACATGACAGTTCTTTTTCAATTATTTTAAACCACACACATCAGCAAATCTCAGTGCTTTGCTGAGCCTGGCACCCCGAAGGATAAACATTATGTCTCTTAGGCTTTATGGCTCAACTTCAAATACAGAGGGCTCAGAAAATTGGAATGGACACAGAATGAGATTGGTTTTCATAAATGTCTATAATGTCATGCAAATTGTCTACAGACACGCTTGCTTGCTTTCCCCCCAGAATGTGGTATACAAAATGAATTACTAAAGGAATTACATATGGGCTGATTTTTGAACTGACAGAAAATACAATATTATGTTTATGAGCAGTCAGCGATGAATTATTCACATCATTTTGGCTTGGTCATCAATCCTTAGTTATCTGACATTTAAATGTAAACGGTTTTATTCCCCTTTTTACGCTGCATGTCTCAACTCCTATACAACTCTACATCTATCTGTTTTACATTTGTCTTTGTCGCAGGTCTCTCCTTTCATCTCTCTCTCCTGCTGCTCTCCACTCGAACACCAGCTATCTGGCAGGCCTCCACAAAATAAAAACCCGGAGGCTCTTCATCTTCTGGCATCTCATGGTTTCTCCTTTCGTCACACTCCAGTGGTGCAGTATATATGCTAAGAATAGCTTTATGGGAGATTAGGAGGGGTATGCCATTTATTTATGTTAGTTGCATACAGTTTATGACTGCTTTGTACAGATTTTCTGGCTGAATGGAATGCACGGAAATCCTTTGACCGTTACAGCCAGGATGGGAGGACCTGTGTGCATTTGCGTTTAAGAGGAATGGATAATGGATAAAACATCGAGTGAAATCATCCCTGTGGTCCAGCTGTGGTTGTGCTTTCATTGCGGAGTCAGGTCGGTCCTGAAAGGAGTTCATACTGTACTTGACTGATTTTTGAAAAGGCATGCACTAAAATTCGCGTCACTGAGGTTTGAGGTCAAGGTTTAAGGTTTAAGGTTTAAGAGCAGCTGGTTCAAGTGCAAGTTCACTTGGTTTAGTTGCTCTTTATGCCTTGAAATGCAAAACACATTGCATTCTTAATTGACTGAATTGTAATTAAGGGTGAGTTCTCTGATGTAGGAATGCAGAGTCGCCCACATCCAATAAAGTGCTTGTTTAGAGTGTGTGGATAAACAACAGAATCCACACCGTGGTTAGCAACACATGCTTCATTCTCGGTGCTGAGAGAAAAATGTCTTTCTCCCAGAACCTTTCAGCGAATACATTCCGGTAATGTTCAGCATGTATATTCATCATGGCCCCCAGCTGTGAGAGGTCAAATACCAGCCAGGAAAGGTCACAGGGATCTCCTACCTGCACCGTGACTGCCTCTCTAATTGCTCTTATTTCTCTCATTTACAGGGCTTAATGGGGGCCGGGGGGTTAGAGAGCCGGGGTCAGACGAGCAGGGACTCCCCCTCCCCGCCATTATAATCCTCCATGTTTGTCCATGCAGCTTGCGTGTTTTGGAGCACATGGTGTCACTCCACACTTCTCCATCTCCTTCTCCCTCCACATCTTCTTTCTGTCTTCATGTTCTGCGTGTCAGTCTGTATATTCCCCTGGTGATAAAGAAGATTAAGCTTCTTGCTTACATGACTTCACCCGCATTTAGGCCTCACAAGACAAAATCCAGTTAATGTGTGTGGATTTGGAGAGCGATCAAGTTCATGCCAGTCTAATTTAAATGCCTTAGTATGTTATGGTATTGTTGTTATGGAGACTATAGTAGGAGCTCATATGACGTTATCTACCGACCACAAGAGCCGCCAGTAAGCGCCATGGTTAATAGGATGTGTTTGAGTTAAGCACTGAGGTCAGAGTTAATTATCTTGGGGAGGTTTTGGAGAAAGATTTATAGCTTTACGGTATAAAGTCTTCATGTCTGATATATAAACTGTCGGTCCAAAGAATTCCAGTTTCGACAGTGGCACCCTTTAAATCTACAGATGTTATGTAACTCTGTGGTATCATAACACATTCCCCAGTGTATTGTATGCAGATGTGTTTGAGGGGTGGATGTTGCCGTACGTTGTGTTACATTTCTATTTTAAATTATGTGTTATTATAATTTGATGCATATCTTGAATCTCTCAACAATTCCCAATCACTTTTACCAAAAGCCTTTCAGTTAACATAGTTTGAAGTCAGAAGGTCTGAGTCAAAGGTCAATGGCAAAGGACTACAGTTCAAGTGTAATAAAACCAAGAGGGCTCTTGTTCTGTTGCTTTAATACATTGTCACTGTGAACATGTAAATCAGTGTGGACAGTTTACAAAGAACGCCTTCTCTCTACAAATGTTTGCTATGATCCTCATGTCATGGAGGGATTTGTAATACACACAAAGAGACAATTAAAAGTCTGTAAACATATGCATGTGCACATCTACTTTGTGTGCGAGCATGTTAGGTTTAGATTGCATGTTGCCTCTTTGATGTGAGAGGATGAATGACACAGATTAAGCTGTCAGACTTTCCTGATAGAGGCCAGATGAGGTGGGATGACAAATCAAGGCCTCGGTGAAGCACTCAGGCAGCTTGCCAAACCAATAACGTGTGCATCTGTGATCTTGTGTGTGGATTTGTGGTTATGAGTAAGTGGGAACTACGCAGATCTGTTTCCATTTACTCTTTATTAATTCTTAACAAGGAGGAATGTCAGGAATATTAAAGAGTTGCTCACTTGAGGAGGCTTCAGCTGAGCAGCTTTGACTTATTTATAGCCAAAACTCCTTTTTAATAAAGGACAACAAATTAACATCCCTGCCACAAGCACACTTGAAAAGAAGCACTCAAACTACCCCCCCCCCCTTTGTCTTGTGTCCCTGTCTGACTTCTTTATATCTGTTAGTGATGACATTTAATAACAAGCTCAAGATTGACTTTAGTGCGTCACCCACTTCAACACATTGTCACTCCAACACACACACACCACACATACAAAAACACAGACGCAATTTCTTGATATTGGCTCTCCATCGGCCACCCACATACACAAACTGGTTTTCTACCACAAAAACACACACACGTGTTACAGATTGCACTCACGACTTTCTTATTCTTCCAGCTCATATTCGCACACCCACTGAGATAAAGCGTAGTGACATCTTACATAACAATTTATTGTTACTGTCAAAAAGAACTTGGGTTCAAAGAGAGTGTAGATTGGCACAAACTAGCTAAAAAAAGGTGACTAGCATTAAGTGTGCTGGGGGTCAGAGGTCAGCAAAAAAAGGCTACGATAACTCACTGGAGTTGAACATCAGTTAAATAAAGGGAGCCACAAACATAATGTTTATGTCACACAAACAGCCTAACTGCACATCACTGATGTTCTCCCACTACATTGAATATTTGGACTTTGGTTCCCCTCCTAAAAGATACACTGACAAATGTAGCAAATGAGAAGAAAAATCAAATGCAGCTGTTTGAGGTCCCGGGCCACGGGTTGTGGGGTTCCAGTCTGTCTGTCTCTCATGTCTGCCTACTTTGCTTCTTTTGAGGCCCTTTCTCAGCTCATTAAACAAGGCTTTATTGGCATGCCAATAGTCCACCTGTGAGTCATCCAAGCCATGACGGCAACTTCAATGTATGGCCAAGCACAGGGGTCACCGTTAAACAACAGTACTGCAAAGTCAAAAGCCAAATCTACACGGAGGCAGCCTCATTTTGCTGTAAAACGCACTGCCACAAAACTCTGTGATGTTAACGTGACACTTGCTACCCTCATGGTGGTTCTGTTTCATCTGTGAACTGACGCCAGTGACATTCATTGACCACATTGGTGTTGTCACTCATATCGGTTGCCCTTTAAAAGAGAAAGGGCTTGGAAAATGCTGGCTATTGTTGTAAGATTCTTACTTGATATGTGTCCAGGAGTTCTTAGCCCCATATCGCCAAAGTGTAAGTCAAAAATAAGACTTTAAAGCTCTGTGGCAAATGATGTTTTTCACACTTTTTTTTTATAGAACCAAAGAAAATTCCAGTTTATTCTCAAGAAAGCTTAACAGGGCTTTACTGGAAAACCACAGCATGCCGTTGTATGGTTCCATTCCTCTGTGCAAATGCAAAAATAAAATCACACTGCAACTTAAGGGTGTTGCCAGCCTTTGTGGTCGGATTGTGGGTTTCTGCAGGAGGTATATGGGAATATGTGCAACTGCTAAGCCCTCCTGGCCTGCCCAACAATGTGCCAGTGTTTGATCCCGTCAGCCAACATATGGCCTTCAGGAGAAGCTAAAGTTAGCGGCACATGCTGATGTCATTAGCGTAAAATGGGAGGTATATTCACAGAGCCATGACCCTCACACAGCATCCCAACACTGAAGAAACGAGCGGTGGATGATTAATATGATATTAGGATAAGGATAAGGGCAAGAGAGGATGGATTATACATCTGGGCGATTATGTAAGTGATTAATATTGATGTACTTCCACGGTTGATGGTGAGCCAGATCTTTCATGTCAGCGTATATCTGCTGCTGAACGAGAAGTGAGGAAAAAGACAAGTACAGGGTGGATCAAAGCTGTAACGATGCTGTAACGATGCTTGTTAGGATTTAATCAGTTCCACTCACCCCGAGCGGCTGGCCACATCTGTCCAATCAAGACATGTCACCATGGTGGGCTCCTGGCTCCAGAGATGCATACAGTACTGCCAACCAAAAATTGGTAGGCGACCATGTTTTGAGGACCCCCACATCATCAGAGACTTGTGGTTATCGTGAGGTTTTCTTTGGATCCTCTGTGGCCCGGATCTCCTCACTGGTTTAATCGATACCATTAGACATGTGTCAACGATTAATAAATTGCTGCGGTAAGGATGCTGAGGTCACTCAGATATGATAATGTCTTTATTAGATGTGGGTTATTCAGGCCCTCTTTCATTTGGTTTAGGCTTCCTCATTGGGTGAGGTCATTGCTTTGAGGCTTAGCTCCATTGAGAAGGAGCTAATTTAGTGGCAAGCCTCTCAACAGGCCCATCCAGAGTAATGGCTGATGCACCTAATTGTGGTCTCCATAGCATCCATATTAAGTCACTTTGTTGGACAATTTGTCTCCACTGAAAACATTTTGTTTTGACCTTCTCACGGAGCTCAGTACAGTGATGTAGGTCACCTCTGACCCTCTTTGTCCTCATGATCCCCGCTACACTATGCCTCTTCAGTGACTCTGCTGTCCCATTTCGACCTTAATTTATCCGTATCTGCGTGGCACCATGTCCTTCGCAAGTGACACGTGAGGGTTCAGACACATGAGACTATTCATTTGTGCTTGGCTACCCAATCTCAGGCTGCTCTGATGGGTTTCAACGGAAGAGGCCAGGGGCAGGAACAGGGGCCACAGTGCATGATGCCTGTGATCTGCCATGGGAAACAGACAAGGTTATGATGCACTTGTGACCCAGGAGTGTGGGGATCGCACGGGTCAACAGGGTTTCCCCCCCTTGTGGACACATTCAAGCTGTCATGAGTGTGAAAGGAAAAGATTGGAAATATGTGCAAGTGTGCATTCCAATCAAATTCCATTAGCTTATCATTACTGCCATTACCGTCACTATCTTCACCAGGAAACAGCATGGGATGTGAGTGTTCTTGTGCTAACATGTGGAGAATAGTGTCATGGGAAAAAAATTTGTGGTGGTTATCTCACAAAGTCCCAAACTGTCTAGTATGTAAATGTCTGAAAATGTATGTATATTTAATCTTTGTTTTAGAATATAACATACCTAATATAGCACAATTCCTACTCTTGTCAGTGGTGGGATAATTATTCAGATTCTTAACTTGAGTAAAGTACCAATACATCAATGTGTGTATGTAAATACTCCATTACAAGTAAAAGTCCTGAATTAAAAAATCGTACTTAAGTATGTATTATCAGCAAACTGTACTTAGTGTATTAAAAGTATAACTTGTAATTGTTCAGACTAATTGCCTCCATGTGTGATATATTTTATAGGACATTTATAGATAATATTGTTGCATCAAGTAGCGTAGATAAACGAACTTCTGACACAAAAAAGTATTACTTTTTATAATATGTTGGATAATTCTAAATGTTCGTACCTTAAAAAGTTACTCCACAAAATGTAGGGATTCATTTGGTTAAAAGTTCTGAGAAGTAGCTAAATATCTTTAAAGAATTTAGATGGAAAAAAAAGTACATTAGGCTATTTCCCATCAAAATGTAGTGGAGTAGGAAATACTCAAGTTAATTACAAATACTTTACATTATACTTAAGCACAGTGGTTGAGTCAATGTACTTAATTGCTTGCCACCACTGACTGTTGTAGGCCTACTATTAGCTTCTTAAAGTAGTTTCGTCTATACCATTATAATCGGATGTAATCGTTCTGAATGTAAAACCTGGATCTGCAAGGCACCTGTAAAAAAGTAGTATACAATATATATTTTTTCCCATGTTGTGGTAGTTTGAAAAGTCTTTATTCAGTCTTTCACTTTATATATACAGTCTATGGTGTTTCACAGAGCTCCGTGTTGCTCTGTCAAAGTTGACGGAGCGACACGTCTCCATGACAACCGTTGCCGAGTCCAACAGTTCCATGCCTGTAGTTAACTTTCACTTGGATACTGAGATTTCTAAAGTTTTATATCGTTTTAGCAATGCAGAGGACAATGAAACGGAGTTTAATAACTTGCAGTAACATTTAAAACAAGGTATGTATACTTCCTGCTGTTTGTATTAATATGTTTGCGAATGTAAACGTTACTTTTTAGCTTGATGAAACCTAGTCAGACAAAGTTGTTAGCGCTAACGGCTAACCTGCTAATTATAGCCAGCTGTGTTTTTGGATTCCTGTTATGTATTTTTTGGCAGCAACGGTCTGTTTAAACTTAGACAAAGTTACTCAGACTGTAGGCCTGTAAACAAAATATAGGCTATCGTTAGCCAGTAGTGTAAAGTAACTAAGTACATTTACTCAAGTACCATTTTGAGAGACTTGTGCTTTACTTGAGCATTTGTTGCTACGTACTTCTACACCACTTCAATTCAGAGGTAAATAGTGTACTTTAACTCCACTACATTTATTTAATATCTTTAGTTACTTTGCAGATTTGGATTAATGATATGAAATATAAACAACACTTAAATAACACTTCAGTTACACCTGGAGTAAATTCACAAGCTACCCTGCAGTATACAGAGACGTTACAATTTGCTGCACCTTTACCAGCTTTGATAAACACATTAATGCATCAATAATCATTATAACACATGTTGTTTATATTATTCTGAAATGGGCCAATCTGCATAATGAGTATTGAATTGCATTTTGATGCATATGCGTTCGTACTAGTTGAGTAACATTTTGATTGCAGGACTTTTAGTTGTAACAGTGTATTCTTATAGTCTGGTACTTCTAATATTACTTAAGTACAAGATCTAAGTACTTCCTCCACCTCTGTCGTTTGCTCCTCGGGCCGAAACTAACATTATTAAATATTATAGTTTTCATTTACATTTTGAATGAATGTGTTTAGACAATAGTCTAACTCTTTGCAGTCCAGTTCTTTGGGGGGGGGGGGGAAGCATACAGGATTGAATCCAAGCTTTATGTTGACCCATTAATGATTTTTTTCCTTCTAGAAGATGGAAAGGAAATATTTCCCAGATTTCGGTGTCTTGGTGCCTCATCCACCCAGCAAACCTCCAGAGCCCAAGCCTCCAGCTCTAAGTCACAGGCACAGACTCGCTCCAGTCAGAACATGCTCTGTGAATGAACAGATGGGGATCTACTCAGATAGTATAACTAAACACAAGTTCCAGGTAAAAGCACATACACTGCTCATGCATTTCACTCTTCAAATTCTGACAGACATTTCAATAACAAGCCCATGCAAATCACTGATCTTCTGTTTATTGATTAGTCTTTAACAGCGGGACCAGGCATCAAGCAGAGGTCACAGGGACCATCCATCATTCGGTTTTGTGATCCCAACACTACAAAGGGTGAGATATAGACAGCAACTCTGTATTTATATTTAACTTTTTGTGTAACTATATATTTATATTTTACTTTTTTAAATACAACATTTCACCCTGTGTAAAGTTTATGTCCTTCTGCCTTTTTGTACTTAGTTACAACCTTAAAGACTCCATATGACCAGGGCAAGCATGTTGAAAAGCAAAAGCCTGGACCTACCTCACAGCAATCACAGCAATCACAGCAATCACAGCAATCACAGCAATCACAGCAATCACAGCAATCACAGCAATCACAGACTTCTTACTTCCCCCGGGGTGGAGATTCACCCAAGGTCCAGATACCTTACCAAACAGCTCCTGGCCAGGTCCCGCGCAAGTTAGAGATAGAGAGGTATGCACTGTGACACTTCATCCATCATTTAGGAGCTTTACTTGTTTTGCATTACCTGTATTGTCCATACTGTTTTTTACTGGTCACATGTGAGTAAGTAAGACATTTGGCTTCTGTCATACAGTACATATTCCGTTTTTATCTCTGATTGCAGAATTAGCTGTTTTAGTGGGGTCCATTCATTGTTTTACTTTATCTACATTTTGTCAATATTTGTTTATACTGATTTGTTTTCTTAAAGACGTCGAAGGGAATATTTGAAGTTAGACATTGAACAGCTCCTGGCAGAACAAGGCATCTATTCAAATCTTTTAATGCCAACACATCAGAGCAGCAGTGATGATCATGAGACTACAACAGACAATCCTGTTTCACCCTACTTATCCCTGGAAGTAAGTCTGGTACAACTGCCATTGTTTCTTTGGCATTTGGGTAGCCAATTACTGTTACATGCCATATTTTGTTGCACCACCCCCGATCATCTTTCCTGGTTTTCACCTTAAGGTATTTGACAATGAGGACTTTGAATGCCGGAATCCAGGAGACTGGCTTGCCCTGGGCATTGCTGAAAAATCACTGGAACAAAAACCTATCCCTGCAAAAGCTCTGCTTCCTACCGATGATGAAATTAATTCTGGTAAAATGTCCCCTGAAAAGAACGGTGTAAACAGAAGCACACATCATTTTCTGTTCTTTAATGAGTACTCTCCTTTTTGTTTTGAAGATGAGCCACAAAGCTCCTCCCTGGAGTACAGCTGGCATCTAGTCGCTGTTCTTGACTATAGTAAGGAGAAATGCCAGTACCTTGTACAGAAAGTTTGCCAGAACAGCCAACTGACAGATGAAAAAGGTCGTCCTATTCTAAATGAAGAACACAAAAAGAGCAAATCTCCTGGTTGGTTGTGAAGTCTTTCCACTTTAATGAAACAGAATTATACTACAATTTCCTCTTGTCTCTGTTTTTCGTTTTGACTTTCCATACCATCCATTTCTCACTCGTGATATATTTCAACACCATGCTAGCAGGCACAACGTTCTGGGTACCCAGGATCAGATTGGTTTTCAGTGCTGAGGACCCACGTGTGTTTGTCAAACGGATCCAGTTTGCCCTGCGCTGGCAGGAAAACACAGAAGCTCTGCTTCTCTATCACCTTTCTGTGGACTGCATGCCAACCTGGAAGGGAACCCCATCTCTTGATAGCCACGCTCTCCAGAGTATTAAAAGAGTCACGCTTTCAGCCCCCGGGCTCGGACAGAAAATGTGAGTGATGTCATATTACTGCTGTCATTATTCTCATTATTATCTGTTTTATAATAGATCCCTCTGAGTTCATGTGTTAACTTACTAATCGGGTGACTAAAGAAAACATTCTGTGTACAGTTTGGAGAAGTGTATCGGGGATCTGGAGAAGGAGCTCAAACTGGATTATGAGCGGACAATGAACCGCATGAGATTTAACAGAGTTGTGATGAGACACCCAGAGGAGTTTTCACACATCACCCTGCCACAGAAGGGTCCTGAATGTGTACCCCAATCAGGTGAGACGATTAGCTGTGTGCACATTTGTTTGAGTCAATCTGGTCAAGGTTTAAGAATACTACTTTTTTTTCCCACCCACAGGGCGTGTTCCAGTTCCCACATTTCCCTATGAGGAGTATAAAACAGCTTTCTTCTTCAAGTCCCTGCTAACAAAGCCGGAGGTGATCCGTGTGTTATCTGAAATCTCGTCTGAGTGCAACAAAGTAGCAAACATGAGGCTGTTCAATGTCACCTCGGTCAAACCACTGCGACTGGACGAGTTTGAAGTCATTCAGGCTCAAATGCATACTCAGGTATCGTAGCATTGGGTAGCTTTTCTTCTGGCAATACTGTTAGTAGCTGACATTGAAAAAAGAGAAAACTTGACTACAAGGAAAACACCTGGATTTCACATTAATAAAGACGCTTTTAATCTTTGTGTCCTCCTCATTCTCCAGGTAAGCTTATTTCTTAGGGAGGGATGGATGGTCTCACTGAGCAACTGCATCCGATTCCACCTGCTGAGTTTTGGCCCTGGCACTTACAATGTGGACGAGTCTCACTGGGAGATGTACAAGATGTCCAAGCTGTACAGATTGATGGCTGTGGTGCGCTTCAACCTGCAGGACTCCATGCGCCACCTGGTGCAGGCCTCGCTGCTCCACCTGACTCTGCTGTTGTTAACCACCTGCCACAGTGTGCTGAAATGTCCTCAGGACCTGGTCTGGGGGGACGACCTCGTCACTAGCCCATATAAGTAGGAAATTATGCACACATTGAAATGTATTTAAACATCTTCATATATCGTTGTGCTCAAATGCATCTGTGTTTTCTATATTTTTCGAGTTATTTATTTTATACTCATTGCATTTTTAGGGACAGTTCACAACCAATTAAAAAATACACATTATTCCTCTTACCTGACTATCTAGGTTATTTTTGTCTGGGTGGTCAAAGATAACGGCTGTAACAATGTCGGCATTCTTTGGAAAATAATGGAACAAGATGGCACCAGTATTGTTGTGCTCACAGAGTCGAAAAGTAGTCTTAAAAAACTATTTCAGAAATCATAACCCTTGTTTTGAACGACGAGTGATCATCCTTGACTAGATTTATTTCTGTGTGGTGATGCGATTGGCTGGTGTAGTTTGGTAGAAAGAAAATAGTTCCTCACTAAAACAGCAGATTTTCCTGAGTAACCCGGCCCTGATGCAAAGAACATTTGTGGCCGTTTAGTTTCTTATTTGTAGTTTTTTTTTAGATCTTTAATCACAGCCATCTAGATTCATTATATTCAGGAAGAACTAGACATCACATCTGATTTAGAAGAGAACTGTAACTTTAAGGAGTGTTTGATAGTGAGTGTGACATAACCTGTCAATAACATTATCTCCATTCTCCAAGGTCAGAAAGGACCCCTCTGTTCCTGTTGGACTTGATTCTGGATCAGACTGGGGTTCATTACAGCACTCCACTCGAGAACTTTAAGACATCCATGGTCAACCTGTTCGATAAGGCCATTCTGGCCACTTACAAAGTACCTCAGCTTGATAAGGTACATTTGTATCACCTGAATCACAGAGCATGACATTAAAATGCAAGGCTACATGAGACCTGTTAGTAAACATACTCAGAGTAGGGCTGTCCCGAATACCATTTTTCGGGCTCCGGATATTCGGTAGTTTTAAAGGAAAGTTAGCACTGTTGACAGTAAGTTGTTGTTGCTATGAACAACGTGATGGAGATTAACGGAGAAAAGTCATATCTACATATACATGTAAAGACGGAGAAAGTAAACGATAAAGTTTATGGTTAAGTGTTAGCACCCCCCGAAGAGGCACAAGCTCTTACGTTGATATTGGAGATTTCAATAAATTCAATTTTAACCAAAAAAAACGAAAACGAATATCCGAATAACGAAATTGAAACCCGAATAGTACTCCAACGAACGAATATTCGGATATTCGGGTACAGCCCTAACTCAGAGACAAAGATGTAATGGTTGTCTCCTCATTCAGTTTGTAATGAAGAAGATGTTCGTCGCTGGGGATCCGTTGCTTGAGTCAGTGAATCTTTGGGAACCAGAAGTAACTGCGCTGAGAGAAAAGGTGTCCAATGCTGTGATGCAAGGAGTCATACCTCTCAGGGCCTATGCTGCTGAGTATGAGAAATACTTAGATTTACACAACCTGGACATAGAAACCCTTCTCAAGTAAGTCTGTTAAAAGCATATATTCAAGTTTTCCCACAAGGTAAAGGGTCGGTGTGATTTATGGTCCACTCAGCATGCTTTCCTCATTACAGAGAGTCCGTTAATCTTTCCTCTGCCAGATCTCCTGCGAATGCAGAACAGACATCCCAGGAAGTGAAAAAAGAGGTGGAACAACATCTCAAAGACAAGGAAACACTTGAGCACTCTCTGCCGTCCTCCATTGTAATTGGAACATTTGTTATTCGAGTGGAGGGTGTACGTCAGGCTCTCTCCAACAAGAAAAAGGCTTTAGCCAATGCAATGCTGGCCACCCTTGTTGGGAAGCTAAGCAAGCAGGTTGATGAAGTAAGTCATTTGTTTCAAGGCCAGAACATGTATACACTGTATTGGTATAATTGGTGTGATTTGATTTCTTCACACTGGACCTAAATGTACCTCCTTTTGAACGTGTTTAACACTGATTGTATCTTGCGTGTGTGTAGGCATGTGAAGAGTACAACACAATCAGTAGAAAGCTGCGTGAGAAACTGAACAGCATTGAAGAACTGAGTGAGAAGAGGGAATGGATGAAGCAAGTCCCAGACCAGCTCAAGAGTTACAAGGTGCACATTCGCAATCATTGACTGGCTATTTTCTTATGTGTCATATAAAGGGTTAATTTGTCATTTAATCTGATTGTTTGTTCCAATCTGTCCACACAGGAAGTTATTGGAAAGACCCTGTCAGACTATGAGCTCATAGAAGAGCTTCGATACTCTCTTTCAAATGAGAACGTTGATAAAAAGTAAGAGTAACATCAATTATTGTAATGTTTTGAAAACTACGTTTGTACATTCTCATGTGAGATTAGATTTCTTCTGTGAATGGAGTAGACTTTGGAGTTATTACATTGAGGCTAAAGCTACTTCTCTCTGCAGGTGGACAGCTATTAGATGGCCTCAAAAGATAATAAGCCAGATGGAAGCAACGGCCGCCCAGCATTTGGAGGATGAAGAGCGCTTCAATAAGATTCAGCTGGCCGACCAGAACAACTTTGAGGACCACCTCAACTCGCTAAAGGTCAGCTGAGCCGAATAGGTTATTTTGTTCCATAGATACTGAACTAGAAGCATCATTTGAATGCACCTGCAGGTAGTTATTTCTTCCTTGGACAGTTAGACAAATTCTAGAGTCCGTTCAGCATATTTTTCCCAGGGTTGGCAGTTGTCTGGAGCAACTAAATAAAAGCATCATAATTTAAAATAAATATAGTCCAAAGCCCTTTGCACTGTGCGAGCATAGGCATGTGCCTCATTTCTTTGCTAACTCTAGCTACAATTTTGGGAATCGCTTCCGAGATGGAGAGAAAAGTATAATAGTTTATATATTATATTGAATGTAATGGCAGAGGGTAAATTATTATTTACATCATCATCATTAAAGGATATATTAAAATGAAAATTGTGTGACAATCACTTTTTTTATTAATTCTGTATAATACAGTTTATAGGATATCTGCAGGACCATAGAACTTCATTCATAATTATTTATATATATGGAGCTTACTGGCTCTTGAATATTGCTCTAGTCCATATTGCGATTAATATTTCAATTATATTACAAGTAAATGTGCAGCCCTAATCGTTGAGCATTTTTCTAACGGTAGCCACGAGCTGTTCTAAATTACCACTACCCTGTGTTTATAGATGCTGGTTGCTGGGTTTGCGTGTCATGATGACATCAATCATGCCCATGAGGTGGCCAACGAAGTGAGGCGTACAACCAAGCAACTGAAGGAGTGTCAGACAATGGCTCAAACCTACAACACCAGAGAGCGTCTGTTTGGTATTCCTGTCACTAATGTAAATACAAACATTATCCACGTTTGTTTTGAACTGTTAAACAAATAGTTATACAATATACTACATATATATTATAATATGTATTTCTGACAATGCACTGTAAATGTGTTTTTCAGTATGATCGGCTGCAGAAGCTGGTGAAGGACTTCCAGCCTTTTACGGACCTGTGGACCACCACCTCTGATTGGATGCGTTGGCACGAGAGCTGGCTCAATGACCCGCTGTCTTCCATAGACTCAGAGCAGCTGGAGCGCAATGTTACAGATGTCCACAAGACCATGAACAAATGTGTGAAACACTTCAAGGACATTCCTGGTAGGAGACGCACGTATGACCATAAAAACTTGACAAAGGGAAGTGTAATTGTTGTTAATATGCTCAACGATTTCTTTATTGGCCTTACGCAACGCCAGGCTGCCAGATGGTTGCATCGGCGATCTGCATCAAGATCGTGGACTTCCAGCCGTACATTCCTCTGATTCAGGGCCTGAGGAACCCGGGGATGAAGAACCGCCACTGGGAGATTCTTTCAGACCGCATTCAGATGAAGGTCAAGCCCAAAGCCAACCTCACCCTCTCTCGATGCCTGGAGCTGGGCCTACAGAACCACATAGAGGACATAGCTCATGTGGGCGAGGTGGCAGGGAAGGAGTACACCATTGAACAGGTACCTTAATAACACAGTGATTCATGAAGTTGTGCTTGTACAGGATGTGCGATGAATGGCGTGCCACCTTGGAGCTGCATTTTTTAGAGTGAATTTAAGTACCCAAGTCGTATTCACTGCATGGTAATCCTTAAGATTTTAGTCCTGGTTGATGAGTTACATTACATTACATTACATTTAGCTGACGCTTTTATCCAAAGCGACTTACAATAAGTGCATTTGACCAAGAAGATACAAATTTGAAGAAAACAGAATCATATAAGTACATCAGGTTTCATTGAGCCAAAACATTTCAAGTGCTGCTCAACTGGCTTTAGATAAGCCAGTCCTTTATTAGTATATAAGTGCTTTGTTAGTAATTCTATCGCTCGAAGTGGAGTCGAAAGAGATGAGTTTTCAGTCTGCGCCGGAAGATGTGCAAGCTATCTGCTGTCCTGATTTCAATGGGGAGCTCATTCCACCATCTTGGAGCCAGGATAGCAAACCCACGTGTTTTTGCTGATGGGAACTTGGGTCCCCCTCGCAGTGCTGGTGCAGCGAGCCGTTTGGCTGATGCAGAGCGTAGTGCACGTGCTGGGGTGTACGGTTTAACCATGTCCTGGATGTAGGAAGGGCCAGATCCATTCGCAAGTACCAGTGTCTTGAAGTGGATTCTAGCAGTTACCGGAAGCCAGTGAAGGGAGCGGAGGAGCGGCGTGGTGTGGGAAAATGTAGGAAGGTTGAAGATCAAACGAGCCGCTGCATTCTGGATGAGCTGCAGAGCTCGGATGGCACATGCAGGTAGACCAGCCAGGAGGGAGTTGCAGTAGTCTAGGCGTGAGATGACGAGAGCCTGGACCAGAACCTGAGTCGCTTTCTGGGTCAGGAGGGGACGCATCCTCCTGATGTTGTAAAGAGTGTATCTGCAGCATCGGGTTGTAGCAGCGATGAAATGGAGTTGTCCCCTGTTCAATACTGCAGGTCACAGAATACTAGAGGAACAAAGACAAAAACATGTTTCCATAAGAACAGACAGAAGTTTGCTCTTTTCCATCATTCTGTGAGTCTGCGAACAGCGAATGTGAAAGAAGTACGTTACCTCATTATTTCTATTTGATCCACTGTAAAAAAGAAGTAGAAAAATGAACATTGTCATTTTTTGATAACACATTTTTGATGAATGATAGCAGACCATGTCAGGCTCTGTTCAAGAGAAAACAAATGGTGTTTCCTGTAACTACTTTATAATAAATATCAGATACATTTTTTAAAGTAAAGCTGCAGTAGTAGAGAATGATTGATGAGCAGTAACTTAACAGACTTACAGTTGCTCATACTGCAAGTCTATCATTGTTGCAATACTTTCATCAGTGGGCCATAGGATCAGTCAGCATTGTCAGAATCAGGATCAGGATCCCTTTATTAGTCCCACGGAGGGAAATGTGCGTCGTTACAGCAGGAAAAAGAGCCACAGACAGCTTAATGTTGTTAAATATGTGAAAAGTACTAAGTTATGATATAATAAAAAATATAATAAAAAATAAAAAGTTAAATAATTTAAAAAAATACACATCCTGTAACAGTTCTTAGGATTTAGCAGCCAGGTATATATTACAGTTATTAACGGCATCTATATATTGCACATATTGCACATAGTTTGTTGGTATTTAGCAGCAAGGGGTGATATAGTCTGTGTTGTGTGTGTGTGTGTGTGTGTGTGTGTGTGTGTGTGTGTGTGTGTGTGTGTGTGTGTGTGTGTGTGTGTGTGTGTGTGTGTGTGTGTGTGTGTGTGTGTGTGTGTGTGTGTGTGTGTGTGTGTGTGTGTGTGTGTGTGTGTGTGTGTGTGTGTGTGTGGGGGGGGGGGGGGGTCAACTAGGGGCTGTGCTGGTTGTATAGTCTGACCGCTGCAGGAAGGAAAGACCTGCGGTATCTCTCCTATAATGTGTTACCTCATCAGGTGGAGGATAGTAACAGAACCGATTGATATTCAAATTAAAATCTTTAAGATCAAAGCTTTAAAATGCATTTCACTTGAAAGCACTTGACTGAAATGTAACACCAAAAGGATGGTGACACAGATGCAAAGTGACTCGTGTTTCTTTAGATTAAAGCAACTCACTTACTCTTTCCTGTTGAACAGAAACAGTGTGTGGATATCTGCATTAAAGTGGTGGCTGCTGCCTTTGTTTCACACCTATTCACACAGGCCCTGGACAAGATGGAAAACGAGTGGTCGACAATATTCTTTGACGTGTTGCCCTACAAGGATACAGGCACCTACATCCTGAAGAGCCCAGATGAAGTCTCACAGCTGCTGGACGACCACAATGTCATGACGCAGAGCATGTCCTTCTCTCCCTTCAAAAAGTCCTTTGAGGCCCGTATCAACACCTGGGAGGGCAAAATCAGAATGACTCAGGTACACAAACAAACACACCTATGGTCTTCTTGAGTATTGTATACTTATTATACAGTGTCTTATGTCGTGCTACTGCCCTCTTGTGGTTTCTGCAGGACGTGCTAGAGGAGTGGTTGACATGCCAACGCTCCTGGCTTTACTTAGAGCCCATCTTCAGCTCGGATGATATCACCCAGCAGCTGCCTGTGGAAGGAAAGAGATACCAGCAAATGGATCAAACGTGGAAAGCAGTCATGAAAAGTGCCTTTAAAAATCCAAAGGTCAGAGCCTCCACAGCACTTCATATGAAAGGAGAAAGCTTTTGTTTTTATACGGAGATGTTAAAGTGTGTGTTTATTTCTAGGTGATTGAGGTGTGCCCAGATTCTAGGCTACTAGAAAAACTGAAAAAGTGCAACGAACTGCTGGAACAGGTCCAGAAGGGTCTTAGTGAATACTTGGAAACAAAAAGAGGCTCCTTCCCCAGGTAAGCCTTTTTTGAAAGTGTCCTTATAAATTACTCTCAACTACGGATATTTGATATTAATTATGAGATGATTCAACATACCATTCCCCGGAGAGGGTCTGCAGTCATGTTCATTTGATATCAAAACCTGAACAACATTAAAGGTGGGGTAGGTAATTCACTTCAGAAACACTTTTTGTTATATTCCATGGAATGCTCTTAACGTCCCGATAGCAATGAATAAATTAAATGCTTTGACAATAAATACTTTACAAATATTTCATCTCTGGAAGCTGTGGCACTGTAAAAAGCACGACTAATCATCTGAGCCGGCCCGGCTAAAATAACTGGATGGCCTACCTGCCTGTCAGCCTTCCATCTGTGCACAAACTTATCTCGTGCCCTCATTGGTCATGTGTGCGTCCGTGTGTGTTGGAGGAGGGGCTCTGTGAGGAAGTCTGAAGGAAGGGGCAGATCTTTTTTGGCTGCGTACTTTCAAATTCTAGCGCACTCGAGCTGGTTTCTCCATTCTTACCTACCCTACCTTTAAGTGGCAGAAGAACTTTTTGGGTGTTGGCGGTAGCTGTGATACCAAAAACAAAAGAAGCAATGGCTTCTAATAACAATTAACAATAGATGATTTCTGACCCAAAAATGTGTTTCTATGCAAAATCACGAGATGCTTGGAACTAAATATTTCTAAATCTTTTCTTTGTAGGTTTTACTTCCTGTCAGACGATGAACTCTTGGAGATCCTGTCCCAGACCAGAGATCCTACTGCTGTTCAACCTCACTTGCGCAAATGCTTTGAAAACATTGCACGGGTTTGTTCCAATACGTTGTTTTACATTATTACTCTTATCATATGCTACTGAAATGTAAAATGCATATCACATAAAACTGAGATTTCTGTTGGTTCCCTCAGCTTCAATTCCAGTCAGATCTACAGATCACACACATGTACTCTGGAGAGGGGGAGGAGGTGAAGCTGGCCCTGCCGGTGTATCCCACTGGGAATGTGGAGCATTGGCTCAGAGAGGTTGAGAAATCTATGAAGGCAACACTGAGTGATAACATTAACCGTTCACTCCAAGTTTACCCTGAGGTCTGACACCCTGACGCTCAAGTTGAACTTTTCTGATGCATTGCCTATTTCTAATTTGAAGACATATTTCAATCGTTATTTTATAATCTGTGTGTGCTGTCTTGACTCTTCAGCAACCTCGTACAGAGTGGGTGTTGTCGTGGCCGGGTCAGGTGGTGATAGCCGGCTGTCAGGTCTTTTGGACTACTGAGGTGTCCGAGGCTTTGGAGCAGGGAGACTTAACCGAGCGCCTTTACCCCCAACTACAGACACAGGTATGGGTTCCATGTTAGACAGGCTTTTATAACACCCTTTGTTGCCTTTATTTGGGATCGGCAGATCTCCTCTCTCCTCTCCCCTCCTCTCCTCTCTCTCCCTCTCCAGATACTTCACCTCTTCAGATTTGAACAATCTAATTGTAGAACAATAATAGAGCCATAGGCGGCGCATGAGGCTCAGGTTTGGGAAGGCTAAATCACTTTTTTTTACCTGACGCCTCAGTGTGCGGAGTTTAAATATATCAAGTCAAATATATTAAACTGCCGTATGCAGAGAAGACGCCGACGTGTCGCACTTATCATTCATATCACATTCAATCAGATCATATAATATCATATAATATCATAATATATCGTAGGCCTATGTCCTTATCTGAGTCAGCTTCTCGAGCCGTATCTGGCCGTGCAACACTTACAGTGTCACATACTGTATGCAGAAGTATTATTTTAAGCAACACATTGGGTTGACGAAACACTCAACTCAAATGTAATTAAAGTCAGATCCACTCGTGACTTAGATGGGGGAGTGATATCATAAAACTGTTACGCTTTCAAACACTCGGTAGTTTATTTATTTTTTAACCAGTTCACCTTCACCATATTCACCTTACAGGTGCAACTATGTGGCTTGTATCCTGGATTATAGGCTATGTGTAAGTCATGGATGTTTAAAGTTCATATTTGTCTAATATTAGTTTACTTTTCATTAATGAAGTATGACGCTGGGTTGTCAGTACACTTGTCCCTGTTTGTGATTGGTCAAATGTTGCTAACCCCGCCCATTTCACGTGAACGCACTCTCAGCTGGTGAGAGAAACCCTGGCTTGATTTACCGAGTTGATAACCAGCTATGACCGCTTAGCGAGATCTCGTTTGTTAGGGTTAGTTAAGATAACTCAAACATATCCAGGATATGTTGAACTGTCTTCGTGGTAGGCCTACAGGGCACAGGTGGCGGCATAGCAGCGCTAATGTCAAAGACACAAACATTATACATTATATTGTTATTTTACCAGGATGCAGTGACAAAATTATTTGGGAAGGCTTAGCCTTCCCTAGCCTACAGTACCCGCCGCCCCTGAATAGAGCATAGGATGTTTTCCATTTTGGATTTAAAAAAAGGGAAATGAACTGAAATAAGGGTCTTTGAGGGAACTACACATTTTTAGAACTCTTAAGTGTTATCAAATGACATTTCCCAAAGGCCTCATAGAACAACAAAAAAGACTCTTTCAATCACAAAGATATCATAAATGATGTATGCCCAATAAGTCGGGTGTCTGGCTTAAGTCATTTCTTTATTTAATTACATGTTCAAGCATCTACACTCATTCATCTTTATTAGTATGTTGTTGAACTGTTGATGGATATTAAATGAAATAGCCCTGGAGTTCATCGCAGTTCAAATGTTTTGTTTTCTCCCAAATATATTAAATATTTTGTATAAATCTTGCAAAAAAGTTATAACTTTAGGAGAGGCTTCTGAGCATTTGTGATAAAGTATATACTGAGAGCCAAAGGCTTTCCGTTAGTTTGAGCTTCATAACTTTGATTGACATTCACAATATTTACAATCTATACTTTAAAAAGATTATTTTTTGTATTTGGTACTTTTTAAAGACTTGGAGTTCTTTGTATAGTCTTGCAGTATTGAAAATTATAAACATGATATTATTTATACTCCCTATTGCATTGATCATTGTGCACATCACAGTCTGCTGACATCCTAAAGGCTTCCCCTCTTGTTTCTGAAGCTGGGCGACTTGGTGCAGCTGGTGAGAGGACCTCTGTCTAAGATGCAGCGGGCGGTGCTGTCTGCCCTCATCGTCATAGAGGTCCACGCTAAGGAGGTTGCAGCCAAACTGGTGGAGCTGCAGGTCTCCAGCATCAATGACTTTGAGTGGATCAGCCAGCTCAGGTTAGCTGTTTGTATTTTGATCTCTCTTTGCTCTTTGGTTCGGTAACTCCTGACGTTGCAGTCCACTTTATCTGTCACAGCTTCTTTCCTGCGTTTCTAAAAGCCACTATAGAAGCAATTCAAAAAGATATGTCCAACACGTTATCCTTCCAGTTATTAGTTCATTCAAAGTCAAAACATGTCCAGCTTGTGATGCTGGATTGATGGTATGCTGCTCGTGTGGTTAATCAAAATAAAACAAAGTTGTTTCCACACACATTCAACAAAGAAATTATGCATATACAAGATATAAATTAATAAAAACAGAAGAGGCATACCTCAAATAACATTACAGCAAACATGTATTTCTTTTTGCTGGATGATTACGGTTGAGAACTGTGTCTTATTGGCACACAGGTTGTCAAATATAGCCCTATAATTGGCTGGTGCTGTGGGAATTGTAGTCTTTTATCTTAATGGACTGCATTTGACTCCACTAGGTGGCAATATTATTCTCACAAAACTAGCTCTAACACTACATTTGTGCAATACTGTGGATGCAGAATGAGAATGACACTGATGTGGTACTGTTTGTAGATATTACTGGACAAAAAATGACTTGTACATCCGGGCAGTGAATGCAGAGTTTTTGTACGGATACGAGTACCTTGGTAACTCCGGACGTCTGGTCATCACCCCGCTCACTGACAGGTAGGTGTAAAGTATAATGTTTTCTACTCTGTTTCGTATCGTTCTCCCTTTTAATACACCACTCCCTGCCCCTTCCAGATGCTACCTGACCCTAACAGGAGCTCTACACCTGAAGTTCGGAGGGGCTCCTGCAGGTCCAGCAGGGACAGGGAAGACAGAAACCACTAAAGATCTGGGAAAGGCGCTGGCTATTCAGACCGTTGTTTTCAACTGCTCTGATCAGCTGGACTTCATTGCTATGGGCAAGCTTCTCAAAGGACTGGCCAGGTGAGAGGCGGTAACTAAAGTGTGAAAGAAAAAATCTGCAGTTAATCACATTCATGGATGCTTTCTTGCCTGGCTGCCTTTTCCGCAGCTCCGGGGCCTGGGCATGCTTTGATGAGTTTAATCGTATTGATGTGGAGGTGTTGTCTGTTGTGGCGCAGCAGATCACCACCATACAAAAGGCCCAAATGCAAAGGGTGAGAAGCTGATTCACTAGAAATGCATTTACTTTTCAACAGAGTGCTTGAGTTATGCATAAGTACAGTCTGTATTTCCATGTACATATTGTATATACTGTATGTTGTATTTCTACTGCATTTAAAAAGACGTTTGTTTGTTTTGATATATATGTTTTATATTTTTGAGTTGAATAACCTTAACTATGTTATATAATGTAATGTAAAAACCAACATAGGTTATCATGTTTCAGTCATCTGTTAAGCATTAAACATGGTATTATTGTTTTTCATTATTATTAAACAGTTTAATATCATACATGGCTAGTTTTGACATTTGTAAATATTGTTTTATATAAGCAAAGAATCAGATTTCTTTTTTTCATTCCACACATAGAGGCAGCCTTTTTAATCCCTATAAAATGTTTGTCTTTTGTGTGTTGTGTTTTCAGGCAGAGCGGTTCATGTTTGAGGGGGCAGAGATCCCTCTAGTCCAGTCCTGCGCCGTGTTCATCACCATGAATCCTGGGTACGCCGGACGCACGGAGCTGCCTGACAATCTCAAGGTTTGAAAAGATCATTTTGAATTCGCTGTGTCACACCAAAGATAAGCAGATGGGGGTTAATCAAATGTTACATTCTACAGGCACTGTTTCGTCCCGTGGCGATGATGGTACCTGACTACGCTATGATTGCTGAGATCTCCTTGTACTCATTTGGCTTCAGTGATGCCAAAATCCTCTCCAAGAAGATCACCACCACCTTCAAGCTCTCCTCCGAACAGCTCAGCGCTCAGGTTTCGTATGGACTTGAAGAAGATCAGAATTAGGATCGGTTTAATGTCCAAATACATGTTATATATATCCCAAGAAATCGCTGTAGGTAATAATATACTTTTGCTCTTGTTTATATGAAGGATCATTATGACTTCGGTATGAGAGCGGTGAAGACTGTGATCTCAGCTGCTGGAAACCTCAAGAGAGAAAATCCTGATATGAACGAGGTATAAAATGTTTCTTCTGTTCATAATGGAAATAATGTTTAAGAAATATGATGCAAATATTAAATGATTAAAAAAAAAATACCCCTCCTGTTAAATATCTCATTCTTCTGCCACCTCCCAGGAGCTGATCTGTCTGCGAGCCATTCAAGATGTCAACGTACCAAAGTTTTTACAGGACGACCTGAAGCTCTTCAACGGTATTGTGTCCGATCTTTTCCCAAAGACAAAACAGGAGCCAATCGACTACGGCACACTGGAGGAGTCCATGCGTGATGTCTGCACCAAGAAGAACCTCAAAGATGTGGATGGTTAGTGTTGCTGAAAGCACTGAAATTAAGTACCTATGACAACTATTAGGGCCACGGTAGGTCAAGAGCAAAGAGGAACATCTAAACTTCTGGGATTAAAGTGGAAATTATAAAAGAAAACATTTGTGATATTATCTGAGATTATGAAGTCAAACTTTTTCCTGAAATGCACAGAAAACTTCTTTTTTTTTTTTAAAGTAAATTGGACACTTTTAATCTAGGGATATTTTGAGATTTTTCTCGTAATATTATGTCCCTTCCACGGCACCGTGATATATATATATATATATATATATATATGTTGTATCTATAAAGGCTCTGATTTTTTGTCGAAGGTCCCTGTATTTTTAGGATGAGTATTTAAAAGTACTGTTGTGATTGCAGGGTTTATTTCTAAGTGTATTCAGCTGTATGAGACCACTGTGGTGAGACACGGCCTGATGTTGGTGGGACCCTCTGGATCCGGTAAAACCAAGGTGAGTCTTTAACTTGTTTACAGTTTAAATCACAGTCCTCCAACGTTGGAAATTATTTTTGTTTTTGCATGTAAGCATCACTGTTGTGTCTGTCTGTCTGTCTGTCTGTCTGTCTGTCTGTCTGTCTGTCTGTCTGTCTGTCTGTCTGTCTGTCTGTCTGTCTGTCTGTCTGTCTGTCTGTCTGTCTGTCTGTCTGTCTGTCTGTCTGTCTGTCTGTCTGTCTGTCTGTCTGTCTGTCTGTCTGTGTTAGTGTTATGAGGTTCTAGGTGCGGCGATAACAGCTCTGAAGGGCCAGCCCTCTGTGAGCGGTGATGTGTACGAAGCGATTCAGATATATGTCCTCAACCCAAAGTCTATCACCATGGGACAGCTCTACGGGGAGTTTGACCTGCTCACACACGAGTGGTAAGTTAAAATGTCTTCCTCAAAAACTGCGAAAATAAACCTTTACAAATTCCAACATATACTATAAACAGACACACTTTTCTCCACCCCTACAGGACAGATGGCATCCTCTCCGCTGTTATCCGTTCAGGTGCATCATCCATGGACACTGTGAAAAAGTGGTATATGTTTGATGGGCCAGTGGACGCAGTTTGGATTGAGAACATGAACACTGTGCTCGATGACAACAAGAAACTGTGCCTCAGCTCGGGGGAAATCATCAAGCTCAGTGAGGTAAGGTTACCTTTTCACAGTCTTCATTTTGTCCCTGTTGCTAAACACACAATATACAATGGGTGTTTCTCAATGTTGAGGACGCTTCCTTCGTGGAACATGTCTTCCGAGTCACTTCCTTCAGAAAACAAAGAATGGTGGAACAGGCTAACAGGTAACAGGTGTGCGTCATATGCGAGGCCCCGCCTTAAATGGAGCGCGATTTCCGCCAAAGATTTGGAAATTGGTCCGTGCGCAAAGCATTGTGGGGATTTTAAGACCGCGGAGTCTAAACATGTGCAGCCTCGAAATTTCTCACTACGGGCTCGGTAGAATTCCAAGGAGCCTGGACATTGGAACAGTCCTTCGGCGGGACTCGATGACGTAGCATCCTTGAAATAGTGACTCTGGAGCTTCCTTCTTTGACATTGAGAAACACCCAATATGTACCTTTTGTTCACAGTGCAGGGAAAAACAAAAAAATCACCTGGATAAAAGCATGAAAATATTTTTGCCACACAAAGTTAGAAAATGATCCTAATAAAACTTTTTGACAATAGTGAGTTTTCCTCAAAAGCTGTTTCCATGGCAACGCATCCCTCCCGTGAAACACGGTTTTCTCATAACTCTGTTGAACATGCTCCAAACGGCCCAAAACTTCACAGGTTTGATAACGATGCAGCCATCAACACATCTAAGCATATTATGGGGTGTCAGCAAATTCCGTTGCCATGGCGACAGATCACTCGCCATCAAACACAATGTTTGTGTTACTGCTGTAACTCCCATGTACGTTGACCGATTGGCTTGAAAATTCCCACGTTTGCCAACGGCCGAGTCCTCAAGACACATACGTGACACGTCGACGTGAGGACAACAGCCTGCGGAGCATCGAAGACCCGCTCAACGCTGCTTGCAGCTTTAAATCAAGGTGTAAAAAAATAAAACCCTTTTTTCATATTTAACTTTGAAAATAACCAAATAAGAAATGATCTTATCAAAAAGAAATGTCATATGTTTTTAGATCATAAAAACAGGAGAAAAATGCTATTTGGATTAGCCTAAGAAAATGGATCACAAAGATATTTGTTTCTCACTTGCCTCTAAGGACTTCCGTATATGTCGTTTTGTGTTTTCTCCCTGCAGGTGATGACCATGATGTTTGAGGTGCAGGACTTAGCGGTGGCCTCCCCAGCCACAGTGTCTCGCTGTGGGATGGTCTACCTGGAGCCCAGCGTTCTGGGCCTCGTCCCTTTCACAGAGTGTTGGCTGAGGCGAGTCCCTGAAGCCCTGAAACCGTTCACAAAGCAGCTCGAATCGCTTTTTGCCAGGTTCCTCCAGGTGAGAGACGGAGCTGAGAGACACCAGCAGCAGGGAATCCAAAAGCTTTTCGTTATGACAGCATGCAGGGCCGTTTCTTCCTATAGGCCAGTAGGGGGCCCCCAAGCTGAAAGTTCAGGTTCAGCCTCAATATATTTGGGGAGAATTAAAATGAGCCGTCTTTATTTGTAGACAGCCAAGTCCCCTCCTGTGTTCGGTGAAGCAAATATGCTTAAAAATCAAATGTAGGATATAAACACAACTAAACTGCAACGATAGCAAAGCTGTGGCTTGTGTTTTTGGGGATCAATAAAGTCCAAATCATCGTTGGGCTGTCAGCCAATGAGTGACGTCTGAGGAAGATGAAAAATGTAAATTATGCATTGTTGAAAAAATGCTGCATTTATTGACGTAGAGGAGCCTTATTGTTTACCTTTTTAATATAATTTTTTGTAAGTTTCAATTGCTTGGTTTTCGTGAAATCAGCCTGTTTTCCGCTTAAAGTGTAACAGATTGATGCATCTCCACAGATCCTCTTAAAGGCTTCGGAATCCCCCCATTGTAGTTAAAAAAACTGTAAAAACTAGGGCCCCCAAAAAGCTAGAAACGGCCCTGACAGCATGTGTTTTAATTTTTCTGTGCTGTTACCCAGGACTCCATCACATTTGTCCGCACATCAGTAAAGGAGGTCATCACATCTCTGGACAGCAACCTCACCTGCAGTCTGCTTAAAGTTATGGACTGCTTCTTCAATCCCTTCAACATTAAAGAGGTGTGTGCAGCTTCTCTCTGTTAGATTCACACGCAACTTATCTTAACCATCAATTTCATGTTGGTAAATAATTTGTCAAGCTACCTGAGCAGTCATCAAGTCGTGAGTGTAAATTCATGTGCAGGAAGTTACTGATTTCACCTTGACAAAACCCTTTCTGTTCTTTGTATAAGTGAAAAGTGTCGATTATGATCTCCTCACCTATATAATAATGGGTACCACTTTACAATAAGACTACCCTTATAAAGGGTTTACGAATAGTTTGTAATTCATTTATTAATTAGGTTGTGAACACTTTATAAATAATTAATAAGCTTTTATAAGACATGAGATAAACAAGGCAACTGTGACTGGTTGCTTGCCAAATAGTGAGCCCACATTTATCTGTACTGCTAAGTCTTATATTGGCTACTTAGCTTACTTCGTCTTCTTCGTCAGCCAGCATCCTTGGTATCTGTTGTTCACTGACTTGATTTTCGCTAGGTAGCCAATATAAGGCTTAGTCATCTTGCCAAATAGTGAGCCCACATTTATCTGTACTGCTAAAGCCTTATTAGAAATGGTGATTTGTTTCACACTTATACAATAAGGCTCCCTTTTGGCAACTATAAATGTTAGTAACTCATAAATAAATGGTCATAAGAGATGCCAAGAAACATCAAGATGGATGGGGGGAATCAACTCAGTGAGCAACAGATACCAAGGATGCTGGCTGATGAAGAAGACGAAGTAAGCTAGGTAGCCAATATAAGATTTAGCAGTACAGATAAATGTGGGCTCACTATTTGGCTAGATGACTAAGCCTTATATTGGCTACCTAGCTCACTTCATCTTGTTCATCAGCCAGCATCCTTGGTATCTGTTGTTCACTGAGTTGATTCTCGCTAAGTAGCCAATATAAGGCTTAGTCATCTTGCCAAATACTGAGCCTGTATATGAAAACTATGTTAACGTTTTTTAATGATTAATAAAGTGTTTACAACCTAATTATAAACCCTTTATGAATCCTTTATAAGGGTAGTCTTATTGTAAAGTGGTTCCGAATAATGTATTTCAGCATGAGAGGCCACCGCCCAAAAAGAAATTGGATCGTCTAAAGGAGCTGATTGAGCCTTGGTTCGTCTTCTCTCTGGTGTGGAGTGTGGGGGCCACAGGAGACGCAGCCAGCTGTAAGCGCTTCAGTGCCTGGCTCAAGGGGAAGATGGCAGAGGAAAAGGTGACAAGGACATCTCTGCTTTTGCATCCCAACACCAACATAGTTCAGAGGATTGTTTCTGACTAGAGGTATACAGTATTTTGATTAATTTAAACATTTGAACATTTGTCTCTCAGATTCAGCTATGCTTTCCAGAGGAGGCGCTGGTGTACGACTATCGGCTTGAGGATGCTGGCATTAGCAACTTTGAGGACGAGGATGAAACTGGGGGGAAAAAAGTAAACTTATTATTCGTTATCTTACCATAAAATGTTTCCAACATCCAAGACCATCACATGCATTTTTGCTTTTAACCAATTTGTCTTTTTGCATGTATATCCAGGTCCAGTGGGTCAGCTGGATGAAAAATGCAAAGAGTGTTGTAATTACCCCAGAGACCAATTATTCTGACATCATCGTTCCCACCGCTGACACAGTGAGGATATCTTTCCTCATGGATATGCTTTTGACCAATAAGAAACCTGTGAGTACTTAGATAGTAGTTGAGCTTTACGGGTGTGTCTACAAATACTGTAACTTTACAAATGAATTCAACACCGTATCACCTGATTATTTTATACTGATGCAATTATTGTATTATAGTAGTAGTAGTAGTAGTAGTAGCAGCAGCAGTTGTAGTAGTAGTAGTAGTAGTAGTAGTAGTAGTAGTAGTAGTAGTAGTAGTAGTAGTAGTAGTAGTAGTAGTAGTAGTAGTAGTAGTAGTAGTAGTAGTAGTAGTAGTAGTAGTAGTAGTGAAAACTTCTGAAGCAATTGGAGACAGGACTCAGAGAGACACAAAGAGAGCTGGAGCTTTGATGGCAAACACTGACGATTTATTTGGAGCTTCGGCCGGAGAATTCACAAGACATGTCACGGGCCACAGTTTGACCACACGGTAGAGATGCCACAATCAATTCTGAAGCACCCTCCTGTAGCTCAAAGTTTTAACTAGTTCAGAGTGTAATAATCAACATTCTTCAATAGATAGACTAAACAGCTGAGAACACTGAATCACATTTGCTGTCGCTTATGGCTCGGGGTCATCTACACCCCGAGAAGGATGTGTTCCAGGTGTCCCATAACAATAACTATCTCTCACCGAGAGTTGCCCGGTCACAAACTGGTAACAACAACAACTTGCTAGGGCAGCCCTTCCTTAAAGCCCCTGTCACACTGTCCCGAAATTGACACCCGATGGACACACATGGAATATGGAATTGTGAATTTCGCACGATGATGGCCCCGAACCACACACGAAGGCAACATTTACATTACATTTAAGACATACAACTGCAATGAAAGTACCAAAAACAATTATGTTAAAGTACTATGATACTGTACTGATATCTTCAGACTTTGTTCTTTACTTTATCCGTCGTTATATGTAGAAAATATTACGTTTTCTCCGTAATGTTGTTTCCATAACAACAACAACTTCCTGTCAACTGTCCTTCAAAATAATATATTATATCCTTTTTAGTTTCACAGAACACAAATTGGGTTATTTACATAATATGTTTACATGATTTTGTTGTGCAATAAAACAACACGATGGACACACGATAAAGGAAATGTTCAAATTCGGCTGTGATCGTAGCAACATCGGGCCATTCGTGAGGGCATCTTAAGCCATCGTATGACCGCCCGTGGAGTTTCTCAGGCTCCGGCAGCAACTTCGTGAGTGGTGGCAAAATCTTTGGCATGCCAAAAAATTGCAGAAGGACCTTGCGAAGGTTCATTTTCGTGTTGAATTCGTGTGTCAATTTTGCCCTTCGTAAGGCCATCGTGAGGGCATCGTGTTATCATCGGTGCCATCGGGCATTCGCCCCGATCAGAGTGCACCGATGATGCACCGATGATTACATGAAGATGACACGATTTCACAAGATGCCCTCACGAGTGCCTTACGAAGTTGCCGCTCACGAAGTTGCTGCCGGAGCCTGAGAAACTCCACCGGCGGTCATACGATGGCTTAAGATGCCCTCACGAATGGCCCGATGTTGCTACGATCACAGCCGAATTTGAACATTTCCTTTATCGTGTGTCCATCGGGTGTCAATTTCGGGACAGTGTGACAGGGGCTTTAGGGAGATAACGGCTGCTCAAGGTTGGTCAGCTGCGTCAGAGGGCGAAGGAGGACATGCAGGGCAAATTATTCCCCAACATATATCACCTGATTATTTTATACTGATGCAATTATTGTAATCAAGTAATACATTCTTTGATTTCAATTCTTATATTTGTCCCTGTGTGTGATCCAGGTGCTCTGTATTGGGCCGACTGGCACTGGAAAGACTCTGACAATGTCCGACAAGCTGCTGAAGAACATGCCCTCTGAATTCATCACACACTTCGTCATGTTCTCTGCACGCACCTCGGCCAATCAGACTCAGGACTATATTGACAGTAAATTAGACAAAAGGTATGCCAGATCTACTATTGTGTATATAACTTAACAACGAAAACTATTTGTCAGCCACCATTTCATGTGTGTGTGTGTGTGTGTGTGTGTGTGTGTGTGTGTGTGTGTGTGTGTGTGTGTGTGTGTGTGTGTGTGTGTGTGTGTGTGTGTGTGTGTGTGTGTGTGTGTGTGTGTGTGTGTGTGTGTGTGTGTGTGTGTGTGTGTGTGTGTGTGTGTGTGTGTGTGTGTCAGGCGGAAAGGAGTGTTTGGACCTCCAATAGGAAAGCACTTCATCTTGTTCATTGATGACCTGAACATGCCCATGTTGGAGACCTATGGCGCTCAGCCTCCTATTGAGCTGTTGAGGCAGTGGATGGACCATGGAGGCTGGTACGACAGGAAACAGATAGGTGAGAATACTGGAGGCCTTTTCCCATCATGGGTTCCTTTTACTTTTGATTTCCATTGTTGCCTATCGCACTAACAGTACATTGCTCTAGATTGTTTCTTCATATCTTAATTATCCGTTATGGGAAGATAATGTGTTTGGTTATGTGTGTTAGTATGTGTATCCATCTCACTATCTATTCATTGCTAATCCTGCATACTACTGGACCCATCAGCCATTTTAATACATTGTTCTCTCTTTCTCATTTATGAAAACCTATATCATTGACTTTTGTATAATGTTACTGACTGCTGGCATCTCTTCAGATTGAGCTTCTTTGTTTTTTTCCTGTCTTTTCTGAACAGGGACATTCAGGCAAATAGTGGACATCAATTTTGCCTGTGCCATGGGACCCCCAGGCGGAGGCCGAAATCCCATCACCCAACGCTTCACACGCCACTTCAACTTCTTGTCCTTCACTGAAATGGACGATGCCAGCAAGAAAACTATTTTCTCCACCATTCTGGGCGGTTGGATGAGTGAGTTGGGGGTTCTCTCGTTAGTGACTACAAACATTAGTCTGTACAAAAATAATTACAACAGTTTCTAACTTGATCTTTGTGCTTTTTACAGATGGATGTATGAGTAAGAGAGAACCAGGCAGTAAGTCAGGGACAGAGAGAACATAATTAGATTAGGAGTGTAGAGTATCAGTTATAATCAGTTAGTATATGAGGCGATACAAAGCTAAAATGTCTGACTACTTGTAATTTTAAGCCATAATATACATAAAGCTCATTTAAAAGGCACACTTGAAAACAACAAGTGTTGACCAGAGTTTGTGGATGTGTCTTCTGATAAAATATCGTCTCGAAATCCAGTTAACAGATTTTCATATTATTAATATTATCCCTTCTATACTGCAATTCTTTCCATCAGGACCTGTGCCAGCCATCCAGCCTCTGAATGAGCCTCTCGTAGACGCTACAATCCGAGTCTACTCCACCATCACCTCCCAGCTCCTCCCGACTCCAGCCAAGTCCCATTACACCTTCAACCTCAGAGACCTGTCCAAAGTCTTCCAGGGCATCCTCATGGCTGAGGCTGGGATGATAGAGGTAGTCAGATGATCTAACAGAATCTAATTAATTTGACAGAACAACATTACAATTGTTGAAAAATCCGGTACCACTTTAATAATAATAATAATAATACATTTAATTTATATAGCGCTTCTCATCTGCCAAGACAAATCTCGAAGTGCTTCACAACAAGGGATACTGATACACTTTGAGAGATTAAACAAATAATTGTAATAATAATAAGAAATAAAAAATAAAATAAAAAATACAATAAGACTACCCTTATAAAGGATTCATAAATGGTTTATAATTAGGTTGTAAACGCTTTGTTAATCATTAAGAACCATTTATAAACCAGTTCTAACATAGTGTTCATACATCGACACAGGCTCACTATTTGGCAAGATGACTAAGTCTTCTATTGGCTACCCACCTTGCACTTTATATGTCGTTGCTGCTATATTGTATTACCATGTCATAAATACTTGTGTATGCTGCTCTTGCTCTTTTGCATATCATGTATTTAGTTGTTGCTATGTTTGTAAAATGTAAACTTCTTAAATGTTTTATGTGAGGGACTGTGGATGGAAATTAGCTCAAAGCTAAATCTGGCACTGTTACGTTTGACACATTTTAATGTTTTAAGTGTTCATTACTGTGCATTGTCCCTGCCAAATAAACGATTAAATGAAATGAACGTTACTACCATTTCTAATAAGGCTTAGCAGTATAGATAAATGTGGGCTCACTATTTGGCAAGCAACCGGTCACAGTTGCCCTGTTTATCTCATGTCTTATAAAAGCTTATTAATGATTTATAAAGTGTTCACAACCTAATTAATAAATGAATTACAAACTATTCATTAACCCTTTATAAGGGTAGTCTTATTGTAAAGTGGTACCGGAAATTCTTTCAGCTTTAGTCACTTTATCTATTAAGTACTTACAAATGTAATTTATTTGGAAGCAGTGGGCTGAATGGCTAAGGCAACAATAAGCAATAAGCCTGGCTAGATTAATCACGTATCAAGTTGGAGGGAAAATGTCTTTCAAAAGGATTGAAAGTATATCTCGCATACACATCATAAAATTAGTTTACTTTGGTGCTTTTTAGGACAAATTGCAGCTGTTGCGGCTGTGGTACCATGAAAGCTGTCGGATTTTCCGAGACCGCCTGGTGTGTGCTGAAGATGTGGACTGGTTCAACAGGCTCCTCAAAGACTGCATTCAGGACTTTGACTGCAACTTTGAGGAGGCCGTGCCCTGCCAGCCGGTTCTGTACGGAGATTTCATGATTCCTGGGGCCGACCCCAAAGTCTACACACTCATAGAAGATAAGGAACAGGTCAGTGGTGCTAACCATGGATGTATAATAAGAACTGGATACAGCGTGGGAGGCGGGGTCTTGTTCTTTCCTATGAGAGCTGCTCATTGGCGCATGAGGACAAAATGGCCCAACTTTTGAGAGAGCGAAACATCACAGAGTACCCGTCATGCCTGGCTGTCAGAGCAGAAGTACCCGTATGTGCGCTCATAGAGCATGCGCAATTGAGTTGCCCCTTAAGCCCCGCCCCCCGAGCTCTCACTCTCAGATGCGCGTTCATAATGCCGAGGAAAATAACTCTCAGAATAACGTTATTAGCACATTTTACAACTTGATGACCTAATGTTTTTAATAAGGGCTATACAAATGTTCATACTGGGTAGTTTATTTGGTTAAAAAAAATCATCCAACGATTTACAGACGTCTCTTTCCCAATGTTAGTCAATGGGAAAAGTATTTCCGGGCCCAGGGACATCACGGACTGATACGGAAGTTGCAGTACCGCCGTTTGGACACAACGAATATTTTCCTCAGAGTCCGGCGCACTTCCTGGGGGCATGGTGCTAACAGAGGATGGCACTATTATTTATCCTTTTGCATCCCTTTTAGAAAGTAGCTCTGATGTTCCTTTTAAAAAACAGCCGTAAAACCATTTATTTTGATTTAATTACACTTTCAAAGTGTCAACAGTCAAATGTATCCACCATCAGTAGTGATCATGTTATTTTTCGGGTGGATTTTAAACCTTTAAATGTTTGTTTATGTGATGGCACAGTTAAAAAACATCAACATTTAAATGTAAAAATCCACGCAAAATATTTTCATGAAATCTTCATTTTTTGTGCACGGTCTCATTTTTACTTAATTAGGTGTATTTTACTTTGTGCTTTGTGTGTTTGTACCCCCCAATAATCTGTTATTGTCCATCTTACTTCATTAAAGTTTAGTATATACTTTACCAAAATGTTTGATTTGTTCTCCCTTACATTTGATTATTTAGTTGGCGAAAGTGATGGAAAAATATATGGAAGACTACAACCAATTCAGTACCACCAAGATGAAGCTGGTGCTCTTCATGGACGCCATTGAGCACGTGTGCCGCATCAGCCGCATCCTGCGCCAGCCTCTGGGCAACGCCCTGCTGCTCGGGGTGGGAGGGAGCGGGCGCCAGTCCCTCACTAAGCTGGCATCACATATGTGAGATTTACACACAATCTTACAACTCACATGCCAACATCAGGCTGTTTTATTCCCCACTTATCTGCTTTTTAAAGGGATCCAACTGCTGGTTTTCAGTCATTTCTGATCTTTTTTTCCCAAAGCCTACACGCATTTTGGGATTAATTCATGAATGTTCTGCTTAATAGACAGCTGGTTCCATTTATTGAAGTTCACTGTTTAAAATTGAAATTGTTCATCATGAGATAGATACACTAAAAACAATCCACACTCAGTTCCAGAGATTTATGCAATTCTTTGTAATATTTTGGGGGGGAAAAGTATCTATGATTGATCAACCATTAATCAAACACACATTACTGCTAATATGCTTAACTTCAGTATGCCCCAATAAGTATCTTGTGGCCCACTCCTCACAGTACGTTTGTCCACATTCAGTTCAGACTACGAGTGTTTCCAGATTGAGCTGTCGAAGAACTACGGTCAGACAGAGTGGAGAGATGATCTTAAAAGCATAATGCTGAAAGCCGGCCTTGAGAATCAACAGATCACCTTCCTCTTTGTGGACACACAGGTACAATATATTATCACCTGCCACGGTATACTGCATGTGTACAGTCAATAAATATCATCCCTGACACATATACTGTACTGTAACGTTGTGCGAGGAATGCTGTTGAATCAATGCTCACCAGACCCATTTGTCCTAATAGATAAAGAGTGAGTCATTCCTGGAGGATATCAACAACATTCTGAACTCCGGGGATGTTCCCAACCTGTATGCGTCGGATGAGCAGGAGCGCATCCTGGCAGCCATGAAGCCAGTGGTGGAGGAACTAGGCCAGCAGCTGACTAAACCCAACCTCATGGCCGCCTACATCAGGAGGGTCCGCAGCAACATCCACACTGTCCTCTGCATGAGGTTAGTCATTCAGATTACATAGTTAAATTGACCTTGTAAAGAGATTCTGAAAGCTTCAGGAAAAAAGATTCGCTCACTTTTTGTATATAAAAACCTGTCTGAAAATGAGCTGATCAGATTTTGGCCACTTAATGATGTCATAAAGATGTTTTGTCTTGAGTAACCATTAGCCAATCACCAACCAAGGTAACCCCCCCCCCACCTTATCACCTGAATCTCCTCCTAGCACCGTTGTGTTCTTTTTAACCAAATATCTCTCAGAGGGGCGTGGGGAGGGGCTCCTTATTTTCATCTAAAGTAACAGACAGAGAATCAGCACTTTTGAAACAGGGCTGAAACAGAGGGGATTATGGGATGCTGCAATGATCAGTTTGGTGTTTGGAGCCAAACACTTCAGAGACATGTTTTGTATATATCTGAGACCTATAAAATATTGATGAAAAACAGTATAATATGGGAGCTTTAATATGTGTTCTTCTTAATCATCATTTCCTCTCCTTCCTCTGCAGTCCTATGGGTGAGGTGTTTCGTGCACGGCTGAGGCAGTTTCCCTCCCTGGTGACATGTTGCACCATAGACTGGTTCAGCGCCTGGCCGGAGGAGGCTCTGCAGGCTGTGGCTACATCGTTCCTCAATGAGCTGCCTGAGCTAGACGTCAGCCCCACAGCCATGAGGGGACTGGTGAGCATGCTGCGTGTGTGTCAGTGGGATTTATTGATAAGGCAAGGCAAGGCAAGGCAAGTTTATTTATATAGCACTTTTCAACACAAGGCAATTCAAAGTGCTTTACAAAAAATGAAAGAGATTAAGAAAATGGCATTTAAAATCAGTCATTAAAAAGAAAAGCTAATAAAATAAACATTAAAAGAAAAAATACATGGATAAAAGTTACAGTGCTGTCAATTAAACATTAAAAGAAAAAAGTACATGGATAAAAGTTACAGTGCAGTCTAAGATATGAATAGTTCAATTAAAAGCAGCGACAAAAAGAAAAGTCTTCAGCCTGGATTTAAAAGTAGTCAGAGTTGCAGCGGACCTGCAGGTTTCTGGGAGTTTGTTCCAGATATTTGGAGCATAATAACTGAACGCTGCTTTACCATGTTTAGTTCTGACTCTGGGGACAGAAAGCTGACCAGTCCCTGAAGACCTGAGAGATCTGGATGGTTCATAATTTAGCAGGAGGTCAGAAATGTATTTTGGGCCTAAACCATTCAGTGCTTTATAAACCAGCAGCAGTATTTTGAAATCTATTCTGTGACACACAGGAAGCCAGTGTAAAGACTTCAGAACAGGAGTGATGTGATCCACTTTCTTAGTGTTAGTGAGGACTCGAGCAGCGGCGTTCTGAATTAGCTGCAGCTTCCTAATAGATTTTTTAGTGAGACCTGTGAAGACACCATTGCAGTAGTCCAGTCTACTGAAGATAAAAGCATGGACAAGTTTTTCCAAATCCTGCTGTGACATTAGTCTTTTAATCCTAGATATATTCTTTAGGTGATAGTAGGCTGATTTAGTAACAGTTTTAATGTGACTGTTGAAACTCAGGTCAGAGTCCATGACTACACCTAGATTTCTGGCTTTATCTGTTGTTTTGAACATTGCACACTGAAGCTCAGCGCTAACTTTTATACATTCTGCCTTGGCTCCAAAAACCATTACCTCAGTTTTATCTTTGTTTAATTGGAGAAAGTTCTGACACATCCAGTCATTGATTTGTTCAATGCACTTACTCAGTGTTTGAATTGGAGCATAGTCTCCTGGTGAAATTGTTACGTAAATTTGTGTGTCATCTGCATAGCTATGGTAACTTATTTTGTTGTTCTTCATTATCTGAGCCAGTGGTAGCATGTAGATGTTAAAGAGAAGAGGCCCCAAGATGGAGCCTTGAGGAACCCCACATGTCATATTTGTCAACTCAGATGTGTATTTACCTATAGAAACAAAGTTGTTTCTGTCCTTTAAGTAGGATTCAAACCAATTCAGAACTGTTTCCGAAAGTCCCACCCAGTTCTCCAGTCGGTCTAGTAATATGCTGTGGTCAACAGTGTCAAACGCAGCACTGAGATCTAATAATACTAACACTGAAGTTCTGCCACTGTCTGTGTTTAAGTGGATGTCATTAAAGACCTTTACAAGAGCAGTCTCAGTGCTGTGGTTTGGACGAAAGCCTGACTGGAACACATCAAAACAGTCATTTAAATGCAAGAAATTACTCAACTGTTGAAAAACAACTTTTTCAATGATTTTACCTAGAAATGGGAGGTTTGATATGGGCCTGTAATTGTTCATTACTGAAGCATCTAGATTATTCTTTTTTAAGAGCGGTTTTAATGACTGCAGTTTTCAGGGCCTGTGGAAAAATACCTGAGTGAAGAGATTTGTTTACTATATGAAGTAGATCTGAGGCCATGCAAGGCAAAACATCTTTGAAAAATCCTGTTGGAATAATATCAAGGCAGCAGGAGGAGGATTTCAGAAGTTGAATAATGTCCTCTAGGTTTTTATCATTAATCTGATGGAATTGTGTCATGATGTCTGAATTGATGTTAAGTGGAGATAGGGACAACACATTTACTGTTCCTGATGCAGAGGTTTGAAGATTTTTCATAACATACATTCAAAAAAACATTTTCTTGAATATAAAATTAATCAAGAAAACATAGAAACAAACCTCACCGTCATTCATAATGTGTCGACAGTTTGCACAGCATTTGACAAGGATGGGGAAAAATCACCCAAACAAATGCGCAAATGTAGTTTTATACCTTTGTCAAATAAATAGGGAATATAGTTTGTCTGCAGAGAAAATAAACTACAATCAAAAATCAAACCGCACTGAAATAACTTTTTACTAAGCACACGCTCAACAATGAATTCCCTTTTGCAGACATTGATGTGTGTGGAGATCCACCAGATGGTAGCCAGGAAGTGTGATCAGTACCTGGCCGAGCTTTCCAGGCACAACTACGTCACCCCCAAGAGCTACCTGGAGCTGCTGAAAATCTTCTCAGATCTCATTGTGCGCAAGAAGCAAGAACTGTGCAGTGCTCGTCAGCGCATGAAGACCGGCCTAGACAAGGCAAGGCACTGAAACTAAGGCAGTAAACAGCAATAGAAAATACATTTGTTTTTGTGTACTTATGATGAATAAGCGTTTCTGTCATCCCATAGCTCCTCAGCACAGCAGATGATGTGAGTAAGATGCAGGAAGAGCTGGGGACGATGAGACCACTTTTGGAGGAGGCCACCAGGGACACTGAAGTCACCATGGAGACCATCAAAGTAAGGGAATTGAGACTTAGAGCAGGGGTGTCAAACTCAAGGCCCGGGGGCCAAATCCGGCCCGCGACTTCATTTTCTGTGGCCCCACAAGAGCTTGCAAAGAATATAATATGTTTATTATACGGTTACATGGTGATTTACGGAAGCACGTTGCCCATAAACGACATGTCCCACAATGCATCTCAAATTTGACTTTTTTTCTCAGAATTTGCATTTTTTCTCAAAATGTTACTTTTTTTTCAAAATGTCACTTTTTTATTTTGCTTTTCTTTTGAAATCGTTTTGTGACATTCTCACTGAAAAGACTTGCAATTATTTGCCCTAGACTTCTGATTTCAGACGTAGTTAATTATTAAGTTATTACCCTATCTGATATTAATCCAATGCAGAGGCAATGATGTAATATATAATACATTATTTTATATATATTAAATATTTATATATGTATTTTGATATAGTCTTGAAGTTACAACCATAATGCAAATGTGGCCCGCGATGAAATTGAGTTTGACACCCCTGACTTAGAGCCATACTAAAGTCTTATAATCTCTAAAGTAAAAAACAGAACGTTTTTTTCTTCATGGTTTGTGTGCAATATATCTGCATGAGCCTGTTTTTTGGGAAACTTACCCTTCAGTGTGATTCATGCTCTACCTTGCCAGATAGACACGGTAGTTGCAGAGGATACCCGGAAGTTGGTGCAAGCAGAGGAAGCCAAGGCCTCAGCGAAAGCTCATTTTGCAGGAGCAATTGCTGCGGATGCCCAGAAAGACTTGGACCTGGCTCTGCCCGCCCTCGACTCTGCGCTCAACAGCCTCAAGTCCCTCAACAAGAACGATATCACTGAGGTCAGGGATTTAAATGATGGTCAGTTGAACATATTCCTGAAATAGTATTACATATGTAGAAAATAACCTTTTTGTCCATAGGTGCGAGGCATGCAGCGCCCTCCCCAGGGGGTGAAGCTGGTTATGGAGGCAGTGTGCATCATGAAGGGCATCAAACCCAAAAGGGTACCTGGAGAGAAGCCTGGCACCAAGGTGGACGACTACTGGGAGGTTGGTAAGGGTCAGCTTCAAGACCCTGGCAAGTTTCTGGAGAGCCTCTTTAACTTTGATAAGGTAAGGCTCCTAGCTAGTACAGTTATTGCCAAGTCGTTGTTTGTACAGTATATGTTGTCATTAGTGCTTCTAACGAACATTATTTTAGTATCTTTTAGATTTTAATTCAGTACCTAAAGTTCTCAAAAACGTCAGTGTTCAATGCCGATGTGGTTATTTCCTGTTTGGGAGATGTATTCATTTTCTGCTCACAATCATTCTGCAGGAAAACATCCCAGAGAGCGTGATCAGTTTAGTCCAGCCCTACATAGATAACGAGGAGTTCCAGCCAGCCAACATTGCCAAAGTTTCCAAAGCCTGTACCTCTATTTGCCAGTGGGTGCGAGCCATGCATATATATCACTTTGTTTCCAGGGGTGTGGAAGTTAAGAGGGTAAGAACTGAAATCCACATTTGAGCCATGAGGTTATCGATGTAAGACATCACTTTAACATTAAATATGTAAATATTCACAGACAGCCCTCAAGGAGGCCTCGGAGGACTTAGCAGCCACGCAGCTCATCCTGGATGACGCCAATGAAAAGCTGGCCGTGGTTGAGGGCGGCATTGCCACTTTGCAAGCCAAGTACCAGGCCTGTGTGGCCAAGAAAGATGAGCTGGACCAAAAATATCAACTGTGTGAGGCCCGCCTCATCCGAGCAGACAAGGTCAGAAGGAGGGACAAGATAAGATAAGACTTCCCTGTTCCCCAGGGGGCAATTTAGAATTACACCAGCAGGTGGTTAGAAACAGGATACATACAGAATACAAAAACAAGATGTACTGTCTCTGTACTTAGTGTTATATTGTCTATACATATTTAACTCGTTTTTGTATTGGTAGTTGAATAATATACTGGCTTTAATTTCCTCAGCTTATTGGTGGACTGGCAGATGAGAAGGTGCGTTGGAAGGAAACAGTGCTAAATCTGGAGTACATGGTCAATAATGTGGCCGGCGATGTGCTTCTGTCTGCTGGATACCTCGCATACCTGGGACCCTTCACTGTAAGTATGTGTGAATACATATCACAAAGTATGTTAAAGGTAGGGTAGGTAAGAATGGAGAAACCAGCTCGAGAGCGCTAGAATTTGAAAGTACGCAGCCGGAAAAAATCTGCCCCTTCCTTCAGACTTCCTCACAGAGCCCCTCCTCCAACACACACGGACGCGCACATGACCAATGAGGGCACGAGATAAGTTTGTGCACAGATGGAAGGCTGACAGGCAGTTAGACCATCCAGTTACTTTACCCGGGCCGGCTCAGATGATTGGTCGTGCTTTTTACAGCGCCACAGATTACATTTTTGTATGTATTTATTGTCAAAGCACTTCAGATATTCATTGCTATCGGGATGTTAAGAGCATTCCATGGAATATAACAAAAAGTGTTTCTGAAGTGAATTACCTACCCCACCTTTAAATGTCATGCTTTTCTGGTGGAGAGAAAAAGTACAACTTTAGTTTTTGCTCTTCTCGACTTATGTTAAATAAGTAGGTTCATTATTGTAAAATATTGTTGAAAGAATTGCAATGCATTATTGGTAGGTTAGCCTTATTCTTATTCACTGTTTTTCTGCCTGTTGTGTAACTTGCTGCTGTTAAATACCAACCACCTATGTGCAATATGTGCTAGATGTGCAATATATATAGATGCCGTTAATAACTGTAATATACACCTGGCTGCTAAATCCTAAGAACTGTTACAGGATGTGTATTTTTTTAAATGATGTAACTAAATGCACGTCACATATTTAACATTATGTAACACTAACCTGTCTGTGGCTCTTTTTCCTGCTGTAACTACGCACATTTCCCGTGGGAAATTAGTCCCGTGAAATTCGTCCCGTGGGACTAATAAAGGGATTCTGATTATGTTCCGGTTCCTAATCAGTGCAGCACTATTGTGTGACTTTGATCAGTATTGTTTTTATGTTTAGGGCGAGTACAGGGCCGCCATGGCAGAGGAGTGGCTGCAGTGTTTCAAAAAGCTAAATGTTCCACACACTGCCGAACCAAACCTGATCAACACCTTCGGAGACCCGGTCAAGATCCGCTCATGGCAGGTCGGAACAAGATTTTGTGTTAACTATTGATTTTTTAAATATATTTTTCGGGGCCAGTGAGCTTACTTAACTTAATGGTCATTTACCTTTTCTGTCATCGTACCTTGTCATTTTAATGTGCACAGATATCAGGTCTGCCCAAGGATAACCTCTCAGTGGAGAACGGTGTGATCACCCAGTACTGTCTGCGCTGGCCTTTATTCATCGATCCTCAGGGACAAGCCAACACTTGGATCAAAAACATGGTACGGTCTCTTATCTGTGTACTGATCCGACCATCACTGCAGAGGGTGCCAGTGAGACAAAAAGAGATAGAAAGTAGCTGTGTCAAGATTTGAAATAGCAGAGTATCAAATGCAGATATTAAATATATTATTCTACTGGTTTCAGTAAATATATGTGTACACATTACCTTGAATTCCTTGTGATAGCTTCTCAGTGTCTGTATTTAATCCTCTGTTGATTCAGACCTGCTTCTTGTTGTCCCCCAGGAGAAGGACAGTAGATTGGAGGTCATTAAGTTAAGTGACCGGGACTTCCTCCGCAGTCTTGAGAATGCCATTCGCTTTGGGAAACCCTGCCTCTTGGAGAATATAGGAGAGGAGTTGGATCCTGCCCTAGAGCCTGTCTTGTTGCAACAAGTTAATACATACCCAGACAAGAATCTCTTGTGCAAATATCCACGATCCACCATTCACTGGGCTGATAATACACTTTCTTTGGCCCATAGACATTTGTGCAGAGAGGCAGCACCATGCTGAAGCTGGGGGACACAGTCATCCCTTACCAACAAGGCTTCAAGATGTACATCACCACCAAGCTGCCTAACCCACACTACTCTCCAGAGGTGGCCACCAAAGTCACCCTCATTAACTTCACCCTGTCACCAAGGTAACACATGTTATAAACCCAAAAAGGCAAAATCCAGTTCGTTTAAATTAAGCTATATCTTATTTTTTGTAGATTTACCATTTTGTAGATTTACCATTTTGATTAGTTATCATCTCATTTTACTTAGCTACTTCTAGGTCTAAAAAGTCTAATTTCTTGCCCTAATTGACACTGCATCCAAAATACACATGTGGTGTAATTATTGCAATTTTACAAGTGCAAGCATGTATTAGTAGGTAACATTTTAAAATACAAGTTTGTGTATTTGGTAAGATTGATAAAGGCAGTATTTCAGTCTCATATGTTTGTTGATTGTTAGTAAATAATATTCCAAAACATCCTTGATATTAGAATCAAATGTGAGCAAAGGATTGAAAAGAAATCTGCTTGTGACTTTCAGAAAGAAATCCAACATTTCTTCAGAATGAATTCAGTTGATGAACTTTATTCTAACTAATGTCTGGCTCTCACGGTCTTTATTCTCAGCGGTCTGGAGGACCAGCTGCTGGGCCAGGTGGTGGCTGTGGAGCGTCCAGACCTGGAGGAGGCTAAGAACCAGCTGATCATCAGCAACGCTCAGATGAAACAGGAGCTGAAAGAAATTGAGGATGAGATCCTGTTCCGACTCAGCTCCACTGAGGGAAACCCCGTGGACAACGAGGAACTCATCCAAGTGTTGGGAGCTTCCAAGATCAAAGCTGGAGAGATCAAGGTAAGAAAGTGGGAGAGCTATAATCTCCAATACCCCAACAAACCTCATATATTGTGATTCTTTAGCAATGTTCCATCAAAGTCATATGCTACTGGATTTGACTAACGCAAGCTGGTTTTGCTGGCAGGCCAAAGTGGTGGTGGCAGAGCAGACGGAGAAGGACATTGACGCCACCCGCCTGGAGTACGTTCCAGTGGCTGTGCGCACACAGATCCTATTCTTCTGTGTATCGGACCTGTCGAATGTCGACCCCATGTACCAGTACTCACTGGAGTGGTTCCTCTGCATCTTCATGGCTGGCCTTGCCAACTCTGAGAAAGCAGGTAGAATTTCCACAGTAGCTCATATACACAGAACTATGTCTGTTCAGATGGAAAAGACACGAAACTGCTTTATGGCTTTAAAACAGATGGGAACATTATGTTCTGCTTCCGCTGAATGTTTTTTTATGTTTTTTACAGACACAGTGGAGGAGAGGATTGCCAACATAAATGAGTTTTTCACCTTCAGCCTGTACA